GGCGCATTATTGCCATTGTCCTTGCCACAAGTTGCAAGTTCATTCGCGCCGCCAACGCCACTGCCGTTAACCACATTTTTTTTCTCCACAGACTATAGAGGGCGCTGCTTACAGTGAACTAAACGGGTTGACGATATTCCTTCGTGTCAAGCGTCAACTTAAATGATATTCTATTTTTGTAGCATCCAGAAGTTGGTGTGTCTGTCTGTATGAACGCAAGAATCTCGGGAACTGTAAGAGCTGGAGGCACCAAACTTTGTATGCAGGCTTTTCTAAGTGCGGTAAAGAACAAGTTTATGGTTTTATGAATAAATAAATAAATGAATAAAGAAATAAATAAATTAAATAAATACATAAATAAATTAAATAAATACAAAAATAAATAAATTAATTAATTAAATAAATTAAATAAATGAAATATATTAAATAAATTTAATAAATGAAATAAATTAAATAAATTTAATAAATGAAATAAATTAAATTAAATAAATAAATACGTACATATTGTGCTCTAAATCGAAAAGTATGAAAGCCTTAATCTATAAATTTGGCATCTAGATTTATGTTTCAACTCCCCACCTCTTCTTCTAACACTAACCCACTAAATAAATTTGGTATAACTCCAGTAATTCTTGACTATTTCGATTTATTTAATAGCTTAACTGCTTAGTAAGTTAGAGGCATGCATCTAATCGCTGTCCACTCGACTCTAGTAGTCGTCTCGGTTCACATAGCGACTGGCTACTGTACTTTTTTTTGTCGCTTTTGGGTCTAACGGCACATTTTTGTATGTTACGCCTTCTTCTGCCGCCTTCGTTGTCATTTCCACACACCCACAATTACAAAACACGCACATACACACACACATACGTGTGTAATTATTTCAATTAACTTTGCTAAATTTATGCATGCGTGTGCGTGTGTGTGCACGTTTAGCTGGGCGTGTGCGCATTGTCAACATGCACGTTAACAGGGCTTTAATTGTCGTCAGTTGCAGTCACGTATTCGCGGCACAGCGCCGCTCACATGCATAGAGCCTCCTCCATACATGTACATACGAGTATATGAACCGGAAATATGACCCCGAAATCGAGCGGGGCGAGCGTTCCGATAGGCAGACATCTTTTTATTTGTATTTAGCTTCATTTTATTTATCATCTCAAACTATCGGATGTTATTCAACCTTGCTAGAAGTTCGGTTATATTTTGTGTAAAAAATGGAAGTTCAATTAAGAATATTGCAGAAGGCTTTCAATAAAAAGGCTAAAAATAAAAATAAGAAATTATCACAGAGCATCAACCGATAACAACATGTTAAAGATAATCAATTGACAAGAGAGATGGCTAGCATTTCTAGGTCATCAGTCAACACGATCTTAAGAGAAGTTTATGCCCCGTGAAATCAAATCTCGTTTGGTTCTAATAAACACTACATTTTTTTCTAAAAACAGTCTGTGGAACAATGTTTTCCGACTACTGTGGCAAGATGAAGATGAGACTTGATTCTTTTGACCCCAAAACAACCCATCAACCGACTAAATATCGTGGCAGGAGTAAATATCAAGGATGAAAAACACTTGCCTAAAAGTTTAAGGTTATGCTCTTTTTTATTATTTATTATTATTATTATTATTATTATTATTATTATTATTATTATTATTATTATTATTATTATTATTATTATTGAACAAGTTTCTACAACCATCGGTGGTTTAATCTAGTTCTATAAGGCTATGCTGATTGTTGTGGTAATGTGCTTTATGAATTCCTTCCGAGGAGCCAAATTGTCAGCAAGTACTATTATTATTATTATTATTATTAAAATTCTACTTACAATTACGAATTGCAAGCAGCATATAAATCCTTAAGCTTTTATGATTGTTTACCATTTAAATTATTTACAGTTTGTTTCAAACTACATTTATTTATATTGCTGATTTCAACTATTTTATTGAAGAGAAGACTTGTTTTATTTTATTTATTTGTTTTCAAAAGTAATATATATACATATATATAATTCCTAATAATCCATATTTCGTTCGCTGTTTAAATTGAATTTGGTGGATATATATACCTGGAATTTCACCCACCAGCGATCTTATTTAAATCCTGTAGAGAAGTATTGGAACTGACATAAGAAAGCAGCAATTTTCTAAAAAAAAAAAAACAAAGCTTTAGAAAAAGCAAGAGGAATGGAGGAATGGGAAGCCAGATAATAATAGTAATATACCGAGGGAGTTATGACTTGTACTTCATATGAAGATCTAAAAATGTTCATAACCTAAGTTTTCAATAATGCAGCATCAAATGAGCTGCTCTATTTGAAAGAACAATTGTTATAGTTTTGGAAACAGATTTCTGTGAACTAACATTTTTAAAATATAATTAAAATTTTTTTTTTAAATATATACGATTATATCGAAAGCTTTTAACACTATGTATAAAGAGTTTTATTTAAAAAAATATATATCAAACACACTTAAGAGTTTTCCCTAAACTATGCAACAAGAATGGATGTTATCCTTCGAGATAGCCTGCAGGGACACATGTCTGGGTGCCACCAGAAGCTCTGGCATGGCACAAGGATACGTGGCCGCGGCTCCAAGTCAACAATTCGCCCTGCAGGCGGCAAAGTTTGGCAGTCGTCGGTTAACGACAACTACAAGCAAGTCCTCACCATTCATGGGCCCAGAAACAAACGAATTGTATGGGTATACCAGTATATATATAATTGTGTATGTATATGTTTGTTTGTGTGTATGTGTGTGTGTGTTTGTGTGTGAGTCATGCGGCGGCTTTCATTCATTCACAGAAAAGTGCAATGGCAACGCGCCTGGGAGTTGCAACGGCACGGGGTCATCATCATTCTGGCGTCTACGCCGTGTCGCACTCGAAGTTGCGGCGCCGCAATGAAAATACAGTCGAGTGCCTGGCAGAGGGGCAGGCAGCGACTTTACGTTGCGAGTACTACGAGGCTTACAACTACAATTATGCGCGCGTACAACTACAACTGGCTTTAGGCCGCTGGCAACAGCCCTCACGCCCCGCACAGGTCGCGAGCGCCGTTCGGTTCACCTGTTGGTAATCGCATGCCTATATGCCTATTTTCTGTAGCTCCCCACCCATGCTGAAAGTTCAATAAAGTAAATGGGCAGCCGAGCTCCGTACCCAGCGGGTTGCTGAGAACTATAGAGATAGAGAGGGAGAGAGAGAGAGAGAGAGGGAGAGAGATGGGCGTGAGTAGGTCGTGATAGTGCATATTTGAATCACGATATTCTTCCAAATTATATCTTGAAAATAAATTTCAATTTTTGAAGTGCTTTAGAAATATAATATTACTATTACTAGATATATACTATATATATATACCCTGTCTGTCTATCAATTTCTTGGTATCGCTGCTAAAAAAGAACGTCCTCCTGACCGCCCTTACGAAATTTGGGAAGCAAGTTTTTGTAAACAGCTTTTTCACTTTTATCTTTTATTTTTCCTTCACCCAAAAATTGTTACCAACCCTTCATAGTTTCTGGTTTCTAGATTTATTTATTATTATTATATCTTCAAATACTTATATTGTCTCTAGTTTCAACCTTAAAGTGTCAATGAAAGCTGATCTTGTAACATAAGAATATATATTTTTCATCATAGAAAGGCATATTCGTTAAAAAAAAAAACTGAACATGTTTGTATTATATGAGAATAGTTTGGAGGAAATATTCGCTATTTCTTCGTTTTTAGTAAAAACTGGGATTGAAGAATTTACAAAACTCATCGAAACTGACATTGACCTTCGAGAGAGCTCTCCTCTCTCTCTCCTCTCCTCCTTGTCTCTCTATAACTCTCGAATTACGATCATTTCCTACGATTGCTTATCGTAAAGCTGTCAAACCAACTGCTACGTGTCACGCACGCATCTCTGACTGGCCATAGACTGCTGACGTCGGCGTTTGCGAAGCTCTGGGTATGGGCTGCGAGACACGGTGGGGAGGGTCTGACTGTGAGGGGGCGCCAGGATTAACAATGAGTGAGCCACGTTAACTGAGAAATGTTGTTCGCTGTGCTGCTGTTGTCGTACTGGGGTTAAAAATGCGGCGGTCGTGGTTAGTTGCTGTTGTTGTTGTTGCCGTTGCTGTTGCCGTTCGTGCGGTGCACAGTGCACTGAACTTAAGCAGCCAAAGCGCCCCCAAGTAGGCAACAGAAAACGAACGTTTAATTGGGCAGCAAATTACTGGTGGTATTCCGGCAGGTATTTAGATTTTGATTCTCAGGTCTAACGAGCTCTGCAGTGTGACCGTACTAGCCGTAGAAAATGTGGTCACACCAGCGCAAAAACCGCTTTAAAACCGCGATGAATAGCTAGAAAACTCGCTAGAAAATAGCAAGAAAAACAATTATAAGTAGCTAGAGAAAAGAGTGTAGAAATGCCACTAAAAATATATAGATAAACCGCTAGGAAATGGCTAGAAACACTGTAATAAATAACTATAAAGCACGCAAACAAATATATAGAAAACCCGTCATCAGTGACGAGGTTGCCTGTTCAGCTTTCAACAACCCAGTTCCATTTCGCATTGCAAATATTCCACCCGAAAACCACAAGAAACAGCGGCTCTTAAAATCACGACCTACCTTGTAGGCATAAATAAGGCAGAAGGTATCTTCAGATCGCAGCTGATTTCCGTTCACATTCATAATTTCAATTTCGCCTACTGGTTTCGTTACAGAAAAGGTTGCCGATTCAGCATTTAAAACCCTCACACTAAAAGTTTCACTTCCAAAAAAAACAGCTCCTAGTTTGGTTTACTTTCAATAAACAAATAGGCGAAAAGATATAATCAATTTACGTTCAGGAAGTACCGCCATTGATGTCAATAAAGCTCAGCTCATATTGGATATTGTATTTATTTAAAAGTGCACATAAGTATTACATATTGTATACATATTACCCATATATGTATGTATGCTTATCGATTATAGGTTTTGAAATATAATGGCTTGTTTCTGTTCCCTTTTTTTTTGGAATATAGTATGCTGTTTTTTATGTATTAGTAAGCTTCTTGGGTAGTGCACTGAGCGTCCTTAGGAGAAAAAAAAAAATTAATAGCATATTTTTTAATTGGTTTTTCCGATATCGTAATATCGACTGCTTGAAGCGGCTTTTAATCTAAGAATGACTTCATGGCAAGTATTGCGAATGATTGTATTGCCATTTATCGTTCATGTTCGTATAACCATGGGCGGGTAAAACTTTCGGTGATCGGTAGAGGCCTTTGGAATAATTAAAATAGTCCTGCAAATAAAAATTATATTCAATAGACATGCGGGAATAAGGTTTTCATCTCAAGCACCTTGTCGTTCCTACGCTGACGGGACTGAGAATTCTGCAGTTGAGTGCCGCCCCCTAAGGGGGCGGGCTTAACCTCCATTATGGCGGACGAGGGCTGGGGCTCTATCTTGGAGTGGGACTTGAGCTTCAACTGTAGATCAATGGCGGGCGGCGGTTCGTGGCGTATGCGTTGCTCTATTTCGTATAGCTCTTGCTGAGGGCGAGTTATAGGAGAATTAGTATTCTTATAGATGGTGCTATAATGGTTATAGCTTACCCGATTCTTGTACACCATACAACAGGCGCGTAGTGTAAAGTAGTATATGATTTCCACACCGGAGAGCAAAGAGAATCCCAGAAATAAACTGGCTATGCCACCAAACGACACCAGCAGATCCACCCAACCGAAGAGCACCTCACGTTTGTACCGAATAATGGGCCAAGTGAGAAACTCAACCAACACACCAGGACTCTCGGGGCGATCCAGACTGCATCAGTAATCGAATTTTAGTCGGCCTCCGCCAATACTATGTCTTGGAATACCACTTACATTTTGATGAGCTTGTCAATGTTGAACACCGTCTTCGAGCAGCTGAGCTCGCATTGCAGGCAATCATTGATGTTGGTAATATTTATCCTATACTCATGCAAGCAGCCAAAGTCCTTCACCGTGCACATGGGTACATTGGCTTCAGAGAATAATACATTAGAAACATTAAAAACAGGGGGTATTATAATTAACTTATACTCGTAAACACAATATCGTAAAAAGAACTATCTGGTACTAATTTTTGCACACATTCTTCCTATAAGATATACATAGTACTCACATTTCAAAAAAAAAAAAAACATCAGAATATGGTAGGGTTCTTTAAATACCTTATAAACACACGGAATGTAAAGGGGTATTATAAATACGTTATAATTGTGTTTATCGTAAAAAATAAAAATCTATTTGGCACTTAGAGCGATTTTTGCACACATCCATCCAATAAAATATACTACCAACATTTCTACCCTCTAAACACAATATCGTAAAAAATAAAAAACAATCTGGTACTAAGAGTGATTTTTCCACACAACCATCGATGTAGTAGTCACATTTCTACAAGCACTCGGAACATAAGATAAGATGTAGTTCTTAAATTTGTACAAAAAAATCTGATTATAAGGGGGTATTATAAACACAATATCGTAAAAAATAAAAAAAACTGTCTGTCTACTAAGACCGATTTTTGCACAAATCTTTGAATACTCACATCCTTCCCAAAAAATGTAGTACTTAAATTTCTGCAAAAAAATCTGATTATAAGGGGATATTACAAATACCTTATAACACAATATCGTAAAAAATAAAAACTGTCTGTCTACGAAGACCGATTTTTGCATACATCCTCTCAATACTCACATTCTTCCCAAAAATGTAGTTCTTAAATTTGTACAAAAAAATCCAAGTATAAGGGGGTTTTATAAATACCTTATAAGCACAATATCGTAAAAAAAATAAAAGCTGTCTGTCTACGAAGACCTATTTTTGCACACATCTTTCAATACTCACATTTCCACAAAAAATCGGAATATATATTACAAACACTTTATAAACACAATATCGTAAAAAAAAATACCAAATTTGATTGAGATACAAGAGTCTTAATTATAAAGAGTAATTTTTACATCGATCGTTCGATCCTTTCTATGACAGCTATACAGAAAAATTAGTCTAAATATTTTTGAATATAAACTTGGTTTGCACATGTATAAGCCCCATCTCCATGCCAAGTTTGGTGCCCCTAATTTTTAAGGTTCGAAAGATCTCGATGTTCATACGTGCAAACAATGCGAAGGACAACAAACCTGGCTAATCGATACGTCTTTGTGTGTGTTTTTTTCACAAATATTACAACCGCCTTTGTACGCCTTTTCACCCACCTGGTATAGAGTATTAGGCTCAAGGAATTGCTTCTAGACTGCACTTACTTATGGGCTTATAGAAGGGCGGATTGCATTTGCAGAGTTTGATGGCCTTGTTCATGCGACATTGCTTCATGCAGGACGAGAAGGTGTACGCATCGGGGAAGTAGCTCAGCTTGACCTCATCGCTAAAGATGCACTTACGCTGGCCGATGGACAACTGCCGGGCATCGTCCGTCGTATAGGTGTTCTTCTTGGATATGCGCACCTCAACTAATTGGCTCTCGGACCAATCGATCTGTGCATTGAAATCGGCGCCAAAGTATTCCTCATTCGAGAAAATGAAAATCTGTAATTGACAGATGTAACCACTTGGGAATTCTAGTAGACTCTTATTAATTATATTTCTTACACGCGATGTGCCATTGGGAACAAAGAACAGAGCCCACTTTTTGTCAGTTTCGTAGAGATCATGGGGCGCGCCAGTCTTTTCGCTATTGAAGATATATATATATACATAATCAGTTGTTCAAATCTCATCTACTTACTCATGATCCTCCAAAGATCTGAACCGACTGTTGAAGGCATAACAGAAACCGTGCTCCGTGTAGATGGGCTCGAAGTGGGCACAACAGTTGATATCCTCGTCCCTGTACTTGCAGGACACCAAGGTGCTCTCGCAACTGACGTGCGCCTGAAAGGCCCATTCGCGTATGGTGCGCTCCTGAAGCTGCTCAAATGGCATCGGTTCCGCCAGCATTTCGGCATCCTTGATGTTGTCAAAATTTAGCGTCGTAAGTAGGTCCATGAATGGGGTAAAAAGCAGAGCCTTGGTCTCATCATAGTTCCTGATTGTAGGTGTAAAAAGCAAATACTTATTATTTCTCCTCGAGCACAGTTGGTGTTATTTTTTCGATTCTTGGAAGGAATCAGCTTTCCTAAGATTATACTGATTTTTGTCTGATTTTTCGACTTACTATGAACAATATTGTGGTGTATTCGTGTTGGGAGCAACTTTAAAAAATATATATAAATTAAAATTAAAATTTTAAAAATTTAAAAAATTAAAAAATTTGTTAAAGTAAAAATAATATTGAATCAGAAATGCATTCAGTTAACATTGGAAAATATGTATTGGTAAAGTGTATTAATAATGACTACTAATTTAAATCTCTAGGGCAGAGATAACAAAATAAAATAATAAATACAATTTTATTTTAATAATGATAACGACTGGCCAGAGGGAATGTCTTTTCATTCCACCACAAACAATTATATGTTTAATGTTTTAAATCAAAAATTGAAAACGAAATCGTCCAATCGGAAAAATGATTTAATTAAGAAAGTAATCGGGTTTTTCAAATAGGATAATCGTTTTAACTATATTGATTTTAGCTTATTTTGAGAATATTTCTATAGCCTGTTTAAAGTTTTTTTTTTTTAATTTTTCGACAATGGAAAATGTGTTTTCTGTATTTATTTCCATAACAGAAGATTTCAATAATTTCTTGGACATCAAGTTTCTTCTGTAGGCTTGGATAAAGGATTACACGATTTCATAAATTGATTGAGTTTTAAAGTTAAATAATCGTTTTAAAAGTTGAAACGATAACGCAAACACTACACAGAGATCAGCATAAAGTTTTCAAACAGTTTAAATAACAAAGATACTATTGATGTCTGATGTTGATTTCAGCTTGTTTCCAGAATATGCATTTCTATAGCCTATTCAATGTGTTTTTTCATTTTTTCTCACAACTAAAAAATAGTAGGATACATATTTATTTTATTTATAATGATTACAACTATGTTATTTATAATTCCGAGGAAGCGAATTCACATCATAGGTTTCTACTGTTGCCTTAGATATGGGATTACATGTTTTTGAGTTTTCTAGTTAGATAATCGTTTCGAAACTACAAACGAAAACGCAGATTAACAAACAGTTTTTAAACATTTCACAGATACTATTGATATCTGATTTTAATTTCGCTTATTTCCAGAATTTCTATAGCCTATTGAAAGTATTTTTTTAATTTTTTCACAATTAAAAATTTTCTTCCTGCATTTATTGCGATGATATACATTTTAAAACTTTCCTTGGTGACAAAGAGAGTTCCCATCATAAGTTTTGTACTGTTGGCTTAGATATGGGATTACGCGTTTTCATAAAACCGGAAGCTAATTAGTTTCCCCCCTTTTCCTTGCAAATTTTCACCTGCCTCCCCATATCGCCCGTCGACACAGATAGATTATTGATTTTGGGGTATTTCCAGAACGCTTTAATAATAACTTTTTAAGTTGTTCAACGAATGTAGAACTAAATAACCTTATTGGAAAATTAGAATGAGGTTCTCTGGATTATATATATTTTCTTAGGAGTTGCTTTCCCTTCCCCTCCCTCCCTCTCCCTCTCTCTCTCTCTCTCTCTCTCGGTCTCTAGTCGTATTACCAGCCCCCTTACTCACGCCAAGGTCTTGTAGACAACGTCAAAGGACTTTTCATGATCGAATGCCGCCTCTGGACAGACGACGGTTGTGGGAAAGACGACATTCTGATTGTGGAAGTCGGTATCCAAGCCCGTTATTGTTGGATTCGTTTGGAATTTCTCCCACAGGCTCATGATGATGACCAGCGCCGTGACGGCACCAATCGATGTGAAGCAAAACCACATGAACTTCTCGCCAATGGGACGACCCGTCTCCGCAATGTAACGCACGCCATGTAGGGTCGAATTTTGAAAGAACTCCTTCGTCTGATAAATTAAACTGCGCCGAAAGATGACCAGAGTTTCGATTAGACGATGCTTGGACATCAGGCGTGCGGCTTTCTCTGGCGGCATTTTCTTTTCAGGAACATTATTCGTTGTCAAGCACCGAATGAACAAACACCAGCGAGGTCCAACAAACTCTCTATATAGTTGGGCGCAACTATTCCGACTGATTTGCGCATTTTGTTAGTCATTAGTCATAGCCAGGAGTGTGTTCGTTTTAGCCATTGTTGCTGCAATACTCTAAAAGCATTTCATTGTTCCCATATGGAAGTGCCCCATGGCTCGCATGACTTTGATTGACCTCGAATCGGAATGGCCGAAATGGAAATGGAAATGTGGAAATAGAAATGCAGGCAGGCAGGCATTTGTCCTTATCTTGATGCCTCGTTTCGGCCAACTACACTAAACAGCTAACACTTTGTTGCCATTAGCAAGTAGTTATTGGTCAATGCGAAGCCTCTCTCTGGCCCCAATTGATCCTACACTAAACGGTTATACTTACTAATACCAAGGCCGCAAAGGAACTATGTAAGTACTTACAAGCCAGTGATTATATTTAATGTACTAGATATAGTAGTATGTGTGACCTAGAATTTATACTAAAAGGTAAAATTTTTCCACCGGAAGCAGTGTATTTCAATAATTTGAATACAATTTTAGTTCTGAAATAAACTAGACTTTGATGATGCCACATTTTCAATTTGGATTCAATCCAACTTTTCGGCTATTTCAGCTCACTAAATACATATATATATATGCATAATATAAGTTATATATTTGAATACAATTTTAGTTTTTAAATATTTCGAAATGAACTAAATAAACTAGACTTCGATGATGTCACATTTTTAATTTCAATTCAACTTTTCGGCTATTTTCATTCAAGAAATATATCAGTTATACCAGATATGGCCTAGAATTGATACCAAAAGGTGAACTTTTTTCAATAGCAGTATGTTTGAATACTATATTAGTATTTAAACAAAAATATATATACATAGTTTATTAAGGCAGCACACATTCTCTCTTATAAATAATAAATAAATAAATAATTTCAATTCAAATTTCCAGCTGCTTATTTCAGATCAAGAAACATATGCATATTAATTACTTGCTAATAAATACCAGATATACCCATTCAATGTGTCGCCTAACACAGGTTTTATGTTTTTTTCTTAAACTAAAAAAAAAAAAATAAGACTAAATTAATATCAGAAAAAAAATTAAAAAAATAAATAAATAAATAACAAAGAAGGCTTCAAGAAAATAATTGTAGTGCAATTTGGATATTATTTATAAAGTTATACATATATTTGTATACTCCTTATTGTGTCGTTACTATGAAATGAACGATCTCCACATATTATCTGTGTCCACCATATAGAAGACTGTCAACGCGATGGTTTCAAAACTGTGTGGAATGTAATAATTGTAACAGGCAGACGAACAGACGGACGAACATAGCGACTGGGATTCGTCTCATCATCCTGATCATACATATATATATTTGTTTCTATAACTATGTATAAGTCCCCATAACTATGCAATTGGTCCTATAACTAAATATATGTTTACAAAACTATGTTATGTTCCTATAACTATGTTTATGTTCTTATATCATGTTGTCTACCAACTTACACACTAAAAACATGATAAGTACCCCTACGTTTTTCAAAAATTATACCGCTTACAACTCCCATTCAACTGCCATTCTCTTTTGATGCAATACATTTTGGAGTTATATCCAAAATTTTTCAGGCGTAAGTTTTTGGCAAATAGTGCTGCACATAAATACGGAATCGGTTTTATATATTTTCAACTGTTTTTACTGTTTAAAAAATTAATCTGTTAAAAAAAGAGACAGCACTTAGTGTCCTAACGAAATGACGACAATTGAAAATTCCAGCGTATTATTTAATATTAATTTAAATAAAATATTAAATATTAATTTTAAAAAATGAAAGTTCTTAGGCAGTTATTCTACCTTTTGTGAGGGCCTTAATCGAAAATCAGCAAATTTGTAGTAACAGCACAGTTTTTTGTAAACAAGGTAAAGGTCTGTCCTTTTAAAAGCGCGAACATTTCGTCTGTTTGGATGAACGCCTGTATTTTGGCATCGGCTGAGCCCACATGGACCAAACTTGGCATGTAGACTCTTCTGGTTCCTAGACTGCACGAGTTTATTTTATTTTTTGGATTCCTTGCCCACAGAACAATTTCAACTAAACTTTGCACACATACTTAGTTAATATGTAGTTTATATTCTTTAAACTGTTTAAATGTCATTTTAATCGGCTTTTCTCTTCCCCAATAATTTAGCCATAGATCATATAGTATTGATACTAAACTTAATATCTGCCTCCCAATATATTTTTTGTATTATTGTGAATAGAAATAATAATAATACTTTCAGCTCCTTTGCGCCCTAAAATGTGTTCCTAAAATGTTGGCACAGTCTGTGCCTAACTTTGTAGTGCAGTGCTAGTGGGACGCAGTGGGATTGCCGCGACACTTTTGTGTTTGGCTAACATTCTGTGGAGGAATCGGCATCGGTATCGGTAGCTGCATGTCTGCCCAATATGGCGATCTGGCGTGGACTGAAGCTAATTGCTAGGCAGTAAGTAGCAGCTGTCTGAACAGCTTCCGGCGCCGCTGCAGTGCAACACAAGAACTGCCAACAAGTTCACAAGTTTTGTGTGAACTTCTGACACGACGACGAAGAGGATGAGGATGAGGACGTGGCCGAGGTCGAGGAGGATGGCGGCGCTTTGTTAGCTCTCTAGACCAAGTGGCCGGGTTCCAGGCCAGCCCGAGCCGAAGCCAGGCCAGACCAGGCAAGCACACAAATAAAGTGGTCTCAAGTTTCAACGAAACACAATTGTCCACTCCCTGGCTACTGTGCGAAGGCGAAGTTAAGGGAACAAAAGGCGACCGATCGTCCAACCGATCGACCGACCGACCGACCGAGGGCTGCCGATCACGACCTGACCCTGATTGCGAGCTCAAGATAAGTGCAGTAGCAGTAGCTTTGCAATTTTTGCAAGGACCTCCACCACCACCACAACCATACTCGTACATACACACATCTGTCCATTGGCAGCTTGCGGCTAGAGTTTCAAGACGGCGCCAGCAGTACTAAGCTCTGTCCAGAACCGTTATTTTCGAGCAATCCAAGCTTGCATTGAAAACAATTAAAAGTGCAGATCTGCGCACAAATCGATCCCTCAACCTCAGCCCATTGTCGGCCCTCACCCAACCTGTGCATATATTATTTATATCAGTCCTCCCCTCCCTCCCCCCTACGGCCCATTCAGCTGCAGCTCTACTGCCTCGGCCTTGGCCTTCGTCTGCAAATAGCGCCTGCCTGCCTGCCTGCCTGCCTGCCTGCCTCACTGACTGGAGACTGGCTGGTCCCGGCTTGGCTTGGCTCGGCTCGGCTCGGCTTGGGTTTGCCTTTTCGCCTGGTTTTCAATTTGCAATTTGTACGCATTTGTTTATGGCATGCAGCGTATCCGTTCGCTTGAGTGCACATGTTCCATGTTACATGTGCCGGGCCCAGCACCCTACACCACCGGGTCCCATCAACTAGCAATTAAGGCTGCTGCCACACAAAAGAACTTCAATTGCAGTTAAAGGCCAGAATACAAAGGATTTCAGCGTGTGTTGAAACATAATAGACATAGTACCAATAGATATAGTACCAATAGATATAGTACCAATAGATATAGTACCAATAGATATAGTACCAATAGATATAGTACCAATAGATATAGTACCAATAGATATAGTACCAAGATAGTACCTATAAATATATAGCACCAATAGATATAGTACCAATAGATATAGTACCAATAGATATAGTACCAAGATAGGACCTATAAATATATAGCACCAATAGATATAGTACCAATAGGTATAGTACCAAGATAGTACCTATAAATATATAGCACCAATAGATATAGTACCAATAGATATAGTACCAATATAGTACCAATAGATATAGTACCAAGATAGTACCTATAAATATATAGCACCAATAGATATAGTACCAATAGATATAGTACCAATAGATATAGTACCAATAGATATAGTACCAATAGATATAGTACCAATAGATATAGTACCAATAGATATAGTACCAATAGATATAGTACCAATAGGCATAATACTGTAGGGAAAGTAGGGGGTTTGTTACTAGAGAGTGGCACTTTAAATAATATAGCACAGATATTACAAATCTTTCATTGCTTTTTTCGATGCACTTGGAATATCATAATTTAAGAATGTCAAAAAATTATTTATCCAGAGGAAATACAGATTATATAATATTTATTCTATAACTCTTTTGGATCCAGCTCAAGTTTCTAGTAAAGATTTCAATTCGTTGTCACCATTGAGTTTATTAGATTCCCAATATCCTTTGAAGCAGCTTAGTTCTACTCTTCAAAGAGTCTTCATTAAAGAATAGCAAAAAATTATTTGTCCAGATGAAATGTATAGTATATATGTTATATCTCATTTGGATCAAGCTCGAGTTTCTAGTATAGATTTCAATTCGTTGTCAGATTCCCAATATCTTTTGAAGCATCTTAGTTCCACTCTCCAAAGAGTCTTCAATGAAGAATGGCATAAAAACTATTTTTCCAGATGAAATATGGAATATATAGTATATATCTTATAGCTCATTTTGATCAAGATAGAATTTTTAGTATAGATTTCAATTCGTTGTCAGATTCCCAATATCTTTTGAAGCAGCTTAGTTCCACTCTTTGAAGAGTCTTAATTGAAGAATGGCAAAAAATTATTTCTCCAGATAAAATATGGAATATATAGCATATATCTTATATTTCTTATATATATCTTATTTCAATTCGTTGTCAGCATTGAACTCAGTAGATTCCCAATTCCACTTCCTAAAGAGTCTTCCTTGGGCCTTTATTTATTTTATTTTTTTTCTTTATTCAAATGTACAGATATCGCCATAAAAACTTCAAAACTCTGCAAACCTAAGAAAATTACAATAATACCGAATTCGACTCCTTAGGGGCTTTTAAATGGCGCCCCAGCTAGTCGTGTAGTCAGAGTGGATATAGTAGTAGATGAATATTTATTGATGATTTATTAGTTAGGTTTCTAGTCAGTATTAAACTAATTTATTATTTCTTTTATGTGGTCAAGTATATTGAAGACTTTTCAGCACTACGAGTACACACATTTATATCGTATTCGAATATCGTATTCCTGCAGCAGTCGCTTCCAATTAGGCTTTACAAAATACTCTTGACCATTGGTCATTAAAAAGAACTTTAGATTCAACACGACTTTCTCCTTAGACATACTCTTTGCTTTTCAGCAATGTTTTAATTTTTTCATTCCATTTAACCATTTCGAGAACTGAAGTATACCTTAATACGAGTGAGTATATCTTCCAAGCCAATGCATTTGTAGATGTGTATTAAGACTATTGCATCATTTGTGGCGGCAATGTCAAGGATATCTTCAAAACATTGTACGGAGTCTAAATTCAAAATATGATGCTTCCACCTCACGAGTCGGGAAAATAGTTGCGGTTCATACTTGCATACAATGAACAAACAGACAAATTGAATAATTATATATTCATATTTTCCAGCAGTTCCACAAACATTTCGAATCTAAATAGGAATATTTTGGTTGGCTTTGTAGAAGCAATCGATTTGTTTCTATAAAAGGCACTCTTTTGTGACTCACATCGATTTAATAAATATATTCTTATATTTTCCAGCACTCCTCTGAAGATAAAGCACCCATTTTATGATACACGAGAAGTCTTCGGGCTAAGGCTGAAAAATTCTCGGGGCTCATACTATACATGCATACAAACAGACAAATTAAAAATTTAAATAATTATTTTTGACTTTTGTAGAAGCATTCGATTTGGTTCTATAATAGGCATTATTTTGTGACTCACAACGGTTAAATAATTATATTTTTATATTTGCTAGAACTACTCCAAAATGCTCCGAAAACATTAGGACCTTAACTGGAGACTATTTTTTAGATAAAGCACCAAATTTAATTCTAAAAGAGCAGTCTTGGAAAATTCGTAGGGCACATACATACATGCACACAATGGACAAATAGACAGACAGACAGACAGACAGACAAAGAGACAAAATGATAGATATTTAATTATTTGAAAGCTTGGAGGTTGCTTATCCATCTTTTTGTAGCGCATACAAAGTGTTGGCCCACTTAGGCGACCATTTTTACCTCACATTACTCCTTTTTATTTCTCATTTTTGCGCTCATTCCGTTTTTGTGTTATTTTTGTTTTGTTGTTTTTTACTCTTCGCCTTATCAGCGATCATTTGTCAAAGCGTCTTGTCCCGGACGGACGGACGGCTGGACGGACGGATGGCGCAGGCAACGGCAATTGCAACAATTTGTTGGACCCGGTTGACAAAAGTGCTCGCCACGTCCCGCATCGTCCTTAGCCGCCATATCGCCGTCGCATTCGTCGTGGCTCATAAATAAGAAATTGAGAGTTTTGGATACGCCACTTGGCTCCCCCAGCAAGTAGAACGAGCCCAAGACCGATGCCAAGACGCAATCGAAGCTGAAGGCGAAGAGGAAGAGCAGGAGAAGGAGAAGGAGAAGGGACTGTGAAGCTGAACCTGCTCGATGGTTGTTGGCTTGGTGGAACTTGTTTTCAGGATCGATCGACAGCCCGACTGGCTGCCTGGCTGGCTGGCTGGCTGCCTTGCGCGTCTCCTTGCCGGCTCTTGTTCTCTGCGCCTGTGTGTGTACATTTGTATATGTGTGTGTGTGTGTGTGTGTGGTTGTGTCTGATTAATGGTAATTGCTTTTATGGGCTTTCTGCTCTGGCCGACCGACCGGCGGGCCGACGGGCCGACGGGTCGACGGCCCGCCCGCCCGTTCTGCTGCTTTCTTGCAACAATTTTTTGTTCCATTTGTGCAGCATTTGTTGTGTAATTTCGCTTTTAGAGTCGCTGTCGCAAACTGCATTTAATTCCTCGCCCCTCCACTCCTCCCAACTCTACCCCCTTACCCGACATCACCCCCCCACCCTTGAGCAAGGCTGAGAAAAAGTTAAATGGACAAAGTTTACAGCACATTTTTAATTTCTATATATTTTTTTCTGGTCTGAGCTCCTTTTCCTTTTTTCCTTTTCACATCCTGTTGTTGATAAATCGCTGCTTATCAAATGGAAAATATTTTCTGATCTCCGCCCGAACTAATTTAAAGTTTGTCTCCCCATATTTACAAACTCTTCGCATACTTAACGCCCGCATCGATGGCTATCTTGAGTTCGGGTATAAGTTTTTTGAGGTCCTCCTTCTCAGTGTCGTCCAGCTCGGGCAAGCCCAAATTTTGGGCTATGCCCTTTGGGCCAAATTCGATGGGTGTGGCAAAGAATGGACATTCCGTGACCTTAGATTCGACAAAAACGCACTCGGGCGGACCCTTTTCGCCCTTCAGGCCCAGCAGCATGGCGTTCATGAGTCGAGCGGCCGCAAAGGCCATCGACAATGTGGCAGAACCCTTGCCGGCCTTGGCCTTGACCACCTCATTTCCGGCATTCTGAATGCGCTTTTTCATCGCGGCAATGCAGTCGGGCTCGCCGGTAAAGACGGGCTTGCACTGCGAGAAGACGGGTAGTATGGTGATGCCGGAATGTCCCCCAATTACGGGTATCTTCACCTTCTGCGGCTGCACATTCAAATAGTCGCTGACAAACTTCTCAGTGCGCACCACATCCAGTGTGGTGACACCGAATAGCCGATTTGGATCATAGGCCTGCTCCTGCTTGAGAATCTCGGCGGCCATGGGGACGAGCGAATTCACGGGATTCGTGATGATCGCGAACAAGGCACTCGGCGCATTGGCGGCCACTGCTTGGGTCACCTTAGCCACCACTGTGGCATTGGCATCGAACAGCTGATCTCGCTGCATGCCGGGCTTGCGGGGCAGACCAGCAGGCAGGATGACAATGTCGGCACCTGCCAAAGCAAAAATATGGATTCATCACACTTCTAGTCCAATTGATTGGTTCGAGCAACACGCTTACATTTTATAGCCTTGCCCAAATTAGCAGCTCCGGCATAGCTCTTCACATCCTGTTGTGTGCATATGTGTGATATATCCGTGGCCACGCCCTTGCATTCCTTTAAATCGTGCATCACCAGCTCTGTGATCAGTTTATTTAACCGGAGCAGCATGCAAAGGGGTTGGCCAACGCCACCGGCGGCTCCTACAACGGTCACCTTGAATGTGCGCTGCATTATTGTGCAGGCGGGGAGCGGAAAGGACGAAAGGTTGCGAATTAACTAAACCATAGGCCGGATAATTCACTTACCAGCTGACCGGGCTGTGTTAGTTGCCAACAACGATAGCATTGCCGCAGCACTCGCGGTTGAGATTTCGAGCTAAACATTGCCTATAAATTTTGAGATAGATCCAAAAAATATAATAATTGATCAATAAATTGTGTCACTTTAAAATATTTGGGTAACTTTACGGCGCCGCTTCCTACGCTGAATTTTTCAAATGTATGCTTAAGCGCCAAACAATATTTCCACTTTTTCTCACGATGTGGCAGCACTGCAATAAGCTACCCATCTATTTGGTTAACTGCAAGCCCATAAATGTTAAAATATTTCCGCTAAATATAATGTAAAATGTTCGTAATGAGCTTATAAGCATAAGCAAATTATTCATTTTTCGTTGTGATTATTTACACAATTAAATGTAATTGATTTGCGCAACTGCTGTTCGTGTTAAATATGGTCACACCAATTTAATTTCATTAGCGCACGCAAAAGCGGCGATGTGTTCATCGATAAGACATCGACCAGACAAGAATAGGCATAAGCACATATATTGTGCTATTTATAATGTACTTGCTTATTTCAATAAATAAGATATTTTATAATGCAAGCCGGGAAACATGTGTTTGCAGAATTTATTATTTGAATAATTGTTGCGCCGATTCATGCAGGCATCGATGTCTTTCTGTCGTTCGATATATTATCGATAAGACCCACTGACAGCTGCCTAATTTCGCAGTTCTAGATGTAGGCTAAATATTACGGACGCGAACGCGCGTTGTTGTGCATTTGTTGAAAACGTACGCGCTATTTATTTGTTTTTTTTTGTATATTTCTTTATATATGCATTAGCGCACTAATACATTTCCTACATCGACTTCTAAATTGAACAAGTTCCGCGTCAAAAACACAATAAACAACCCAACATCAATGTTTGTGCGTGCGCAAGTGTGTGCTGTATTGTTTTAAAAGGTGAGACGCCATCGCTGGGCCTCTGCTGCGTCGCCATCATCATCACAATCGCGCGATGATGGACGGCAGCGGCATAACGGCATATTCATAAAAATTATTTTTTTTTTTTAAATGTTTTACTTTGCAATTCGCTGCTTGAAATTCGCGGAATTGCTCGCTGCCGCGCCATGCTCTGTTCTTGCCTTGTTTTGTTTGTTGTTACCATTTTTGCATTACGTTTTGCTTTGCTTTCGTTCCGCCAGCATCCCACCTCATCGCCTCACCGCCCGCCCGCTCATATCAACAGCAGTGGCGCGCTTCGTGGCGTAGAGTTGCCCAACCAACAACCAAAAAATAAGAACAACAACACCATCAACAGCATCGGCCTAATGTCCTACTTTGGCGTCTATATACCTCCATCGAAATCGGGATTCGAGGGCAATGCAGCGCAATGTGCGGGTTCCATTGCGGCGGTCAACATAAAGCCCGCACTGGAGATGCCGTCATCCGGCGGGACCAGTATTATATTAACGGGAGATGAGCTGAATTCGACCAAATATGAGGATCCCGATTATCCACGTAAGTATTGCTGTGCTGCGCTTCGTCCGCATTAAGCGTTTACCGTTTATTCTTTACGTCGCTCGTTTGTATACACTTGCACATGTACATATGTATGCATGCATATGTATGTAAGTATAGTAACCGTTGTATTTGTTACGCATGTTTTATTCGCACAAGCCATACGAAACAAATATAAAAATACACTCGCACATGCATGCGTGTGTGTGTGTGTGTGTGTGCTTGGGATCTGAAGGCGAGTTTAAACAGAACTGCGATCTCACTCATACATGCATGTATACATACATATGTACATTTATGTACGTATTAAAATCGCCTTGCCATATCTAAATGTATGTACATATGTACTATATTCCATTGGCATTGCCTGAAGCTGAAAGAGTCCGTTTATCATTATAGACTTGATAAGAGAAAACATTTTTAAGATACATATGTATGTATGTTATTTATGTGTGTTTGTTAAAAACCTTAACGTAATTAAAAGCAATGTTGGGCACTAACTTGAAATTATCATGGTTATAGTAATTAAAAGAATTGACTTGTTTCCGGTTATAAGCAAATGAACCGCAAGCTTGAACCAAAGAAATCTAAAGATTTTTTTGATTTTCAAAACATCAATCGAATCTTGTATTAAAATATATGTATATTTTAAAACGATCTTCACGTTCTTTTGAAAAGTTAATAAATTACATTCTGATAAAGTTCTTTGGCAGAATTTTGTTAATCTTCAGTATTTGACCTACAAGTTTTTCCTGAAACACTAGCTGGATCGTTAGGAAAACTATCATCCAAGACTTGTCAGTTCCTGAAAATGTAATTCTGCATTGTTAGACTAAACTAAAGATAATGGCTGGGGTGTATATTCAAATAGCCAGTCATTATTGTTTGAATCTTTAAAACACTAGTACTTATTAATTTGTATTCGATATTTTCGCCATGAAAAGTCTTCTAAATTACAATAGAATGGCCGATTTGAGTGTTCAAAATCCTAGCTAGTTTCTGATGAATACTGCGCGCATTGGCAACCGCTTTGCTCTCCACAGCGCACGCTCAACTGCCTCTGCTGCTGGCGCTAATGTCACGCATCGCCAGAGACGACCTTCGCATTGCCAGACGTGGGAGTGCCGCCTACATTGGCGGAGGTAGAGGCTTACATATGTGGTGGAGAAGCCAACGTCATTGTGTCGCGACGTCTGACAACAATTGCAATTTAATTAGGTGTATGGTCTTGCCCTGCCCTCTGACAAATGCCAATAGGGTAGGCTAGGCTAATCTAATTAAATGCACTTGCTAAATAAGCACAAAAAACTGTTTACAGCCACAAGAAGAAGGCAGCCAAAAAAAAAAGAAAGTAAACAAAATAAAAACAATAGCAAAATTTTAAATAGGTTCATTACACCCCCAGAATTGCGTGGTGAATGAATGGACGGCAGGATGGTGAGGCAGCAGTTCAAAAACCCTGAGCCTGTCGATGACCGTTTCATTCCAAGACATTTTTCTTACCATATTTACATATGTATGTATATACATGGATGAAGAAGTTTTTGCCTGAACTTCCTAGAATTTGGGTTGAAAGAGCTCTATATTCTTCTAAAGAATTTATAGTCCACATATACCTGAAATGGTGAACAAAAATACGTCAAACTAGCTCTAATTTCTAAGCGATTTCAGCTTGACATTTTTTCTAATGCATTCATAAGGTATCTCAGAAATATTGAGTAGATATATCTCTGAGAAATTGATTGAAATAACACAATATCATGTCAAAATAAATTATCAAAAAAAACTCGGCGTATTGAGGAGATTTCAGTTCTTGCAGATTTTCAAAAATATTTATGTATTAAATCCTTTTAGCTCTGATCTACCAAGATACAGATAAGAGGAGAGGTGTCAGTTCTTGAGAGTTTTCAAAATTATCTCATATTATTAAAGTGTTAAATCCTTTTAGCTCTGATCTACCAAGATACAGATAAGAGGGGAGATGTCAGTTCTTGAGAGTTTTCAAAATTATCTCTTAATCAAATCCAACTTGCTTACAGACTTTAGCTTTGCTCTGCCAAGTTTTTATTTAGCGATCGATTAGGTTAGTATTTTGTGTTTGCTGTGTATTTATTTATAATTCGAGCCTTGCTAAAAATTGTGTGTCAGAAGAGCAGTGGGTCTTCCTCAGTACGCACAGCATTAAAAACAATAACAACACCCACCATAAACAAGTGCGCTAGCTGCCATATTTATATCCAAGCGATTGCCAGGCTGCTCACATCCCCCGCCCTCTCCTTGCCTGCTGCGGCAAGAGAAGAAGAGGTGCTGTGGGGCACAATGAACGCGGACGAATCGAAAATGCGTCACACGCATGCTCGGAAAGCTTTTCTAGCCACCTCATTGTCATCGTGAATGCCCGCCATTCCCCTGTCTATGCCGCCCACGCCCCCACATGTGCTCATCAGTTCTTGTGAATTATTTGTTTTGCTTGAGATTTTTCTCGCGCCTCGCTTTGTGTGTCGCGTTCTTTGCGCCGCGTGTGCCAAAAGCGAGCTATGGCGATATGGCGTGATCGCTGATGATCGCCCAACAAAATAGTGGCTAACGAAACAAAAACAGAAAGTGTTGACAGTTGTCGTTTTCTTCCAATTCAATTGCAGCCGACTCGCCACTCTGGCTGATCTTCACGGAAAAATCCAAGGCCCTGGATGTGCTGCGACACTACAAGGAGGCGCGTCTGCGGGAGTTCCCCAATCGTGAGCAGGCCGAGAGCTATGTGCAGTTCGGTTTCGAGAGCATTCAGTCGCTGAAGCGCTTCGGCAAGACCAAGCCATTGAGCAGTAAGTAAATAATCGCAAATATACTTGTACATATATTATTCACCAAGCGTATAGCGTTCAGTATTAAATGACGGGGCTACTGGAACGCTGTTCGCTTGCTTCACAACTGGTACGATTGAAAGGAGGACAGACCTAGGCAGATGACGAATGCGTCCCAAGAATTAAAGCTAGATCTCGAGTTGTCAGTTTCTGAGCACCTCTAAGGCGGTTTAGGGCTCTTTAATTTTAAACAAAGTATTTCCCAAAATACTTTTTGAATTGTCGATAGTGTTCGATTTGAAGGGGTTTTCTGGTATTCAATAGCTATGTGGTTTAGTTTAGTTTTTCGTTAACAAAAAAATGGAAACTAACTAGCTACTTGTGTTTTGTTTCCACAGAACCCGTTCAGTTAGCAACAAGCATAGCAGCTAGTTTTAAGGGGACTAACAACAACAACAGCAGTGGCAGCAGCAGCAACAACAGTAGCGAAAATATATACTCATCATCGCCAACAGGCATGAGCTCCTCAACGCTCGCCATTCTCTCCTCCTCGCCCACCAGCAGCGGCTTCGCCTGCCTAGTGGGTGCCACCAGCAGCGGCGACAACAGCAGCAGCAGTAGCAGCAACAACAGCATCGGTGCCACCACCTCTTCAGTCACTGCCCGGGACATACTGCCCTCACTAAATGCAGAGCGCCCGCCATTTCGGGCGCCCATAAAACAGGAGCTCGCCGACTTTCGCAAGCTAATCGAGGCGGGCAACTATGAGCGCGTGAAGCGCATTGTGTGGGAGAATCCGCGCTTTCTCATCAGCAGCGGCGACACACCCACTAGCCTGAAAGAGGGCTATCGCTATAATGCCATGCATATATGTGCCCAGAGCAATCAGGCGCGTGTCGCCGAACTGATTCTCAAGATCATCTCAGATCCAAAATTCACGCAGCTATATGCTGGCCTGAAGGCTAGCGAGGAAATGTGTGCGGCTCTCAATGATAATCTGCTAGATTATTATCTCAACATACCAGACAAGGGACGGGGCGAGACGCCTCTGCATTTTGCCGTCAAGAACGGACATGTGGCTGTTGTCGAGGTCCTCACATCATATCCCCAATGCAAATCCCTTTACAACAAGGAGCACCAGCTTCCCAAGCATGTAAGTACTACAAATAAACGCCTTCTCTTTAGCTGTCTCTAATTCCCAAATTTTCTCTCTTGCAGATCATTTGCCAGCGTGCTCCGAACGCAGATCCCATGGTGACCAAGAAAATCGAATTGTTGCTAAACGGTCCCTACTATGTGCCCGTTCTACGTGCCGTAGGCAACGAGTTACCGCCACAAGTAGGCCAACCCTTTACGCCAAACGAACCACCGGTGAGTATTACTTCTCTGTTGAACCAATACTGTTGCTCTCTTGAAAGTAGAACCGTATTAAAACCAACTGGATGTCTAATCGATTCAATTATACCTGGCCATTTCTATAACTAGCCATTTCTTTCCGTTCGCTCGTCCGTCTGTATGAACCTTAATAACTTTCGAACCATAACAGCTCGGAGCAATAAACTAGTCATGTAGACTTGGCTTAACTATATGCACAACAAGTTTATTTGAAACCGCAAATAAGTTCATTATTGTAGCGGCCATCGGAAATGTTATGCTTCGCCACATTTGAGGTGTGGTGGTTATATAGAATATTGCAACATATATTCAAATGTTAGCCAAATCGGACGACTTTATCCAAAGCTGTAATAGGAAATATGCATTTTTAAGAAATTCAATTCAATATGCGGAGAGCTCTCTATTAAGCATTTGACGTAATACATTTATCTTTACAGACATTGCAGTGCAAGAGCGACGATAGTGAAGCGCTTAGCGTTAGCTTGACCATTAGCGCATTGGCCGGGCCAATGCCTCGAGATCAAGCACAGAATTTTTATCGTCGCTGGAAGACGCCACCGCGCTTGGGCAGCACACAGCATTCACCACTGGCCAGCTCACCATATATTTCGCCGATGAAGACGCCGGCCAAGTCGATATTTAACAAAAGCGATGGGGCCGCCAACCATTCATCGCCCACAGGTAGACGCTTGCTGTTCAGTCCGCTGGCGGCAGCATCGCCAAAACTGGCACATGTGGATCAGCAAAATGGCAACCACCATCTGGATGAGATGCTGGAGGAGGAGTTGGGACCACTGCCGAACAATGACAGTGGGAGCGGCGAGGAGCCGTGCAATGACTTGGAACAGTTGGAGAACAACAACAATAACAATCAGCAGAGCATCAAGCAACCATTTAGTCTGCCATCGACGCCGATGCGTCAGACAAAATCAGAACTATTTACCGCATACCGTGATATCTGTTCGTCACCGATCGTTGGCATACAATCGCCCGGCAGCATACCTGCGGCAGAAAGCACATTCAATGTGTCTGTGTCAACGTTCAATGACAGCTTTCGTGAGCGTCACATCAAGAATTCGGACATTGAGAAGGGACTCGAGATGGTGGGTCGGCAATTGGCGCTCCAGGAAGATTTAGAGTGGCGCGAATATTGGGACTTTCTCGATGCCTTTGTCAATATTGCATCCCCAGAGGGCCTCAGACAACTCGAAAACTTTTTCACCGAGAAATCGGATCAGGCCTGGAACTTTGCACAAATGCATTACTACTTGGATATGGTTAGCGAGCGCGAAAAGACGGGCACATTGAATACATCTTCGCAGGTATTGTATTATATATTGCAATTTAATGAATCATTCACTGGAATGAAGTCACAATTTTGTCGTTGTTGCAGGCTGAATTCGCTTCTGCCAGCACCACCACCTCCATTCCGCAGGTGATGACCCCGTACACGTGTGTGGAGAAATCGCTGCAAGTGTTCGCGAAACGCATCACCAAGACGCTCATAAACAACATTGGCAATTTGGTCTCCATCAATGACACCCTGTTGTCCGAACTGAAAAGACTGAAATCGCTCATTGTGAGCTTCAAGGACGATGCGCGCTTCATGACCGTCGACTTTAGCAAGGTCCACTCCAGGATCGCCCATCTGGTGGCCAGCTACATAGCGCACTCGCAGGAACTGACTCCCGAAATGAGCCAACAGCTGCACGTCATGCTCGACAATCTCTTTAAGTTGCATGGCGATCGGCGTGAGCATTTGGACTGCGTCTGCGCCAGCATGCTGCAAATGCTGAAGCAGGCGCCCCAAGTTGAGCTGCCGGATGCGCTCAAGACCGAAGAACTCTGTGCGGCCGCTTGGGATGCGGAAAAATGTTGTCCCTGCCAATGGGATCCGAATCTGAGTCGCAAGACAAGTCGGCGCAAGCGCACAGAATCCTTGCGTGCTCAAATCGCTCCTGTGGAGAACAGTGGTGCAGTATTATCGGCGGCAGCTGCGGCCGCGTTACGTGCCGCTGCACCACCTAGTTTGGCGGTTGTAGCGCCCGTTCCCATTACCAACGTTTGGCGCGGCAGCAGCAACAGCGATGATGACGACGACGATGACAGCGACGACGATGCATTCTTTGTAAGTCGGGGAGGGGGGTGGTAAATATCTCATTGTATCATATTCTAAACATATGCTATTCACGTGTTACAGTTTGACTGCAGTGCTGATCAGGTTTTGGCCAGCGATGAAGACGACGAAGAGGTCTTCATGACGCCCCCGCAAAGTCTGTCGCCCGTGCCGTCGTCCAACAATGTGGAGCCACCTTATGAGCTGTTCATCTTTGGGTAGGTTGGAAAGTTTGCATTTATTGTGGACTTAATAATTAAGATCATTTATACTATTACAGCAAGGAGCCGACGAAGCGCGATCTGGATGTGCTGAATGCGATATTTCATCTGGACATTGTGAAGGAGGCGCATCCTCGTGTGTTTGCCTGGAAAGCAGCCATGGAGAGCTTTACGCCCGCCGAAATGGATCTGTAAGTGCACTCTGCAACGCAATGGCCTAATCACGAGCAATATTTTCAAACTCTGTGTCATTTCGCCACTAGATTCCCATCGCCCAAGTACGTGCAAAAGGCGCACAAACCGGTCTTTACGCCCGCCGCGCTTAAAGCGCCGAACAGCTCACACAGCAGCGCCAATCTTTCCACAGACAACGGATCGTCGATTGTGCTGTCGAAACATATATTTGCCACGCCCAAGTTAAATGCTGTGGTTCCGCGTCGTAGCGCAGCGACGCCAACGGTGCCACCAAAGCCGCTACGCCTGCCACGCTCCACACCACCAGTAATAACCTCGGGGCAGTTAACGCTGGAAAATGGATATGTCATCGAAAAGAGTCACACAACTGAGACGGTGCCGGTGCCTGTAACAATGTCTACAGACTCGACTGTTGCGGGTGGTGGTGGTGCTGCTGCTGCGGGTGGTGGTGGTGGTTTGAATTTCCCCTCCAATATTTCACAGCCATTCCAAACACCGCTCAATAAAGTGCGCGGCCTATTCCACAAGTATCGCGACCCACGCCCCGACTATAGTCCCATAGGAGGCGACATGAGTAGCAGCGATGCGCCGATACAATCACTGAATGAGAGCTTCTAGCAGCTGTGGGCGGTAGGCGTGACAGAAACTACAACAAATATAAATACAACAACAGCCAACAACCACACGGATACAAAAGTGACAAAAGTGTCAGGAACTGATAAGGAGGAGGCCTCATCATGACTTTGAATTACTTTTGCTGCATTGTGCCTCCCAAACATAAATTCTTGCAGCTTTGAAATTAAATTTCAAATGCCGAGTAAATAAAACAAAACCCATACACACACGAAAAAATAGATTGTCATTTAAATTGCTGAGCCAGAAATGGCACTTAAAAATTGTCTGCAGCGCTGCAAAGCTGCAACATAAATATTGCCTGCTTGCATACTTTTGAATAAGAAACAATTTCTTTTTTTTATATTTATATATTTATGCTAAGAGTGTATTTGTTTTTGTTCTAAGCAACAGGCTGACGCTTCCTGGCGAGATCGTTTTGAAATCCAAATATTTTAAAATGCCTGTAAACTTAAGCGGAATGAGATACGTGAAATACTTAATTATAATTAAACATACACACACGCAACTTACGGCTTAGTTTACACACTCATAAAAGTAATGTTCATTTTGATAAAAACAAAAATATATATTTTAAAACCACACACACACACAAAGGAAATTGAATTAAGAAATGAATTTATATGAGAGAATAAAATATAAATGCTATAAATTAGCGAACTTGTCGATTTCTGTGCTAAAAAAATGAGAACTAGAAGTCCGTGTGTGTTTGGCTACACCGCATTTGCATGCTCTACACAGCCCTTAAATCGTTCTCTTGGACACAACCTTTTGCAAGACTAGATCTTGATCTTTATCTGGAACTTCTGCTGAGACATTCTAACCTGAATTCATTATTTTCATATTGAAACAAACAAAAAAAAATGAAGGAAAAATCGAAAAATGCAGTAATGTATAAGGAATACCACAATTCTTGAAAAAAATTTAAAAAATCGAAAAAAAAAACATCTGTTCATACAATCGCCACGAAACTTTACAGGATCAGCCACGAGACTATTTTGAATATTGCCACAAAATTTGATCAATATCGGTTGAGCGGTTTCAGAGTTTAAAGAGAACACATTTGAATAACGCTATTATCTGTCGACCATAAACTGAAAAGGAATTATACTCACCACTGGAATAAGGTTATTCGTTGTGAGTAACACTAATTACATTCTTTTTTGAATGTTCATTATGTTTTTGTATGTCTTTATTTTATTTGTTGTTAAATTAAAATATTTTGTTGTACACATGTTGAAATTTTATATATGATTTAGTTATTTGTTGTCTGTAATCAATGTTTTGTTTTTTTTTTTTTGAGGTGTCGGTATTAGTGAGAATATATTTTACTAAGTTTTACAATAATATTTAATTGCTTTCTACTACTCGTACTTGCGTTTATTGACAAAACTTGTTTAGTGCACAATACATTTTAAAAAGTTTATTTCAGTTGCCTACATACATACATACATAAGTAAGTTTGTGTAGTATGTTTGTATATTACAAAGATTTTGATAGTTATGGAGAACGTTGACAGCGATATCTGGCAGTTTATTCTTTTTAATTGCTTCGTTGTTGTGAAAACAATAAAAATCCGGTCAATTATGAAAATTGTAAATTAACAAAAAAAAAAAGCATTTTTTTTAACAATAACAGCTCGGTTTTCAATATGAAGATATGCGATCTGACGTTTTTAATGCTTGCATTACAATCTTTTAGAAGCCAGTTCTTCCACTCCAGCTAGAAGTGGCAAATTCCCTTTAGACTTGCTAGCTTTGGTCTGAGCGTTATTTAAATATTTTGGCAATGCCAGGCGATAAGAAACACTCCGCTTCAATTGTTTCTATCATCAAAAGTGGAGAAGTGAACCGATATAGAAATTTAAGGCGCGCATTCAACATAACACTTTGCTTAATCAAGGATTTGCTTCCCAGGATCAGTTGTAGATAGGCACATATTATTGAATGCATTATACGGAAGTGTTCGGTTGAGTGTGTCCAATAATTTTCTATACTTGTAAACAGGGCCGATTTTAAAGTGCGTTGGCTAAAGTACACTACAAACAATAAATTGTCTTCAACATGTTCTATTAAATGCCTTTAATATTGCTATTGCTTTCTATTTTGCGTAATTAAATGGGATTTACTTCTTTGTTTTTTTTCTGATGCCCTGTAGTTGCATTTAGAATTGGACATTAAACACATTCACTATGTTTGTTTAGTTTATTAACGTGTATATGTGATTTTTATTGTATGTATGTATTGTGTGCGTCGCACTTGTATAGTCAAGTGCTTCGTTTTGTTGTTGTTTTAAATACATTAATTACATATTAAGTTGCACTCTATGCTATACTGGAAGGAATGATTGCATTTAATTGTTGTACACAAATCTAAGACTTTAAAAATACCATTTAATTTAAAGAAAAACACTCACATACATAAGTGTACATATAATAACCGAAAAGAACTCGTCTTAAATACACAATTCATAATCTAAGGCTAGAGAGGGTACAATAAATAAAATATACAAAAAACATATGCAGGAGAAGTCCTTCTCATTTTCAAATGGTCGGACACAGCATGCGGAAAAATAGATAGTTTTAAGAATAATTCAACAAACAGCTTTGTTAGTGCGACAAAAAGAATTTTAAAGAAAGTGTAACTTAAAGTCTCATTTAAAAAAAAGAAAAGAAAACCAAAAAAAAAACGAAGACACACCTAAGTCTACACATGAACTAAACATAATTTTGGTAGTTTGTCTTACACTAAGTTGCTCGTTTTTTTTTCTTTTCCTCAAATACAATACATACATGCGAGTATGTATGTATGTCTATCATTTAGTTAATACATACAGTGTGTTGTAGTTGCCTTAAATGCCTAATACTTAATGATTATGTGCGCTCCATCGTGGGGGCAGGAGTCTGAGACTTAAGACTTGAGAGAATTATAGAGAGAATGCGGCAGAGGCTCGAAATTAAAGCTTTGTATGTTTCACAGTGTCCGTCCAATAGTTCTGTATTGTCATTGCCTCCAGTGAGTTGAGAAACGAGTCATTATCCAGGCTATACATCTCATCAGAGTTATCCTAAAACAAAAAAACCCAAGAAATTAGTATAAAAGTGTACTTCCCAGTTCCAGACAGCGCACGATGATGTACCATAGGAGTGAGACAAAATTTAAATCCGAAAACTGTATAACATCTATTCGTCATATACTTATATTTAAATCACGTTTGATTTTCACTGAAAGATCTCTTATGCATTTTTATAACTTTTTTTAATATTTTACATTTTGAAATTTGAAATCTTTTTTTTTTTGGAAATTTTTTGTCTTATGTCCTGGTTGGACAATTATTATATTTGATGATAACTTAGACATTTTTTAATCATGCTTCAGTCATGATATGAATTCATAAAAGTATACATACATACATATACATGCTAGATTCGTATAATAGAAGAATAATAAAAGCGACCAAATTTGCATTTATTGGGAATTTTAATGGAATTTTCAATTGTGTTTTCCTGTTGCTCAAATGTATAGTAATAGGTCCAAATTATTTTTGGGGAAAAGGGTAATTCCTAACTGGTAATATTTTCTGGCTTTGAGTATGAATGTCGTAGGATATAACGAACCCATCGCACAGATTTTTAAAATGTCATATTGATAGCAACATGAATTACGGAATTAACGCTATTTCTTGATATCAGATAATCTTTTGTAAGATGAGAAAGCTTACAACCTGAGTTTCGAGTCCCTGAGTTCTGTAATATTCTATTTCCAGCGTATGATAGCCAGAGTTTTCTCAATCTTGTGTCTGCTGTGGTGCTTTTTCGTATAGCAATTGCTACCTATCTACCTCGGCTTACCACCCGGATCCCTTTGGATCCTGAGTTCTACAATATTCTGTCTTTTGTCTCACTCTTCAGTGGAATGGAACGAATGTGCTGTTGTGGTGGTGGTGGTGGTGGTGGTGGTGCTTGCATGGCCAACGAATCCTTACACTTACACGCATGGTGCTATCATCAATATAGACACTGGAGTCTGGCTCGCTGAGGGCCTGTGGTTTGTTCAGATAGCGACGCCTATATAGGACAATGCCAATGGTACCCACTGCACAGCAAATGCCGAAGACTGTAAAGCAAATGGCGGATATTGCGCCCGCATCCAGAAAATAGGTGCGCTACAGAGAAAGGTTACGTTATAGTGAAATGTTTGGTGGAAAGCGGTTGAAGGCCTCACCTGAATGGCCAGCGCCTCGGACGAAATATTACTCTCGTCTGCATCATAGGCCGCGGCATTGGGGGCTGCAGAAGCGGAGCGCGTCAACAGACTCTTCGAATCGCTGGAGAAGTTTATATAGCGATTGATGTGCTTATATTCCGCCGATAGCTCCTTGGATTTGCGCGATCGATGCTCGTTCTCGGCGCGTCGCAACTCATCCTCCTTGTTGGCATTCTCCAGCGTGAATGGAACCTTCTGCAACTCCCCATCCTCAGCATCAAGATCAGCAACTCGTCCAGCGAGCGGCAGCCATTCGGTATTTATTTTGGGCGTGGACGGTGTCGCCGCTACGCCGGAGCCACCCAATACTGTTGTGGTGCTGGACAGAGGCAGCGAAGTGACGCTGCTTGTGGTATGGATAGGGTGTGGAGCTGCGGACGAGCTTGTGGCTTCTCCAGCTGCCGCTGTTGTTGCCTTTGTTATTGGACTCGAGCTGCTGCTAATGTTGCTTGGGGCAGCTGTGGGTTCCTCTTGGGATGTGTTGTTCCTCGCTCCACTCTTGTTGTCATGGCTATACCCGCTGGTATTATTTTTATTGATACTGCTGCTATTTGTACTGCAAAGGGGGAAAGTGGGTAAAATAATTATAATCTTCTTCTCTTGTTTCTCTCACCTTGTTATGCTGCTAAAATTCGTATAGTTGTTCAAATGCTCGGAGGGCAGCGTTGCACCCGCATCGGCCGCAAAATTTGCCGAGCGCTTGAACTCGTATTGATTATGTGAGAGCTGGACATCGGGATCTGCATCCGTGTCGAGCTCATCGATGTCTTCATTATCTTCTTCGTTATCTTCAATTCTCCCATCATCTACGGCTGTTGCAGTCGTCATCATCTCATCCGATTCGTTGCCCTCCACCTCGTCCACGTCAGTTAGAAGCTCACTTGTGTAGGTGGGCGTGGCTGCTGCCTCGCCTGCAGGCTTCAGTGTCAAGTCCATGACGTTACTTAGCGGGGGCGTGGCCGTTGACCATGCCAGACTCGATGTCGTTTGGTACAGCTTTGTGGTCAGACGAGTCGGCAGCTGCGCCTGCGCTGCTATCTCCCGCTGTTGCTCTTGAAACTCCTGTCTTTTGGCTAACTCTAATGTAATCTCTTGACTGGGATATGTGTGCACATGTGTGATGGCATTAGGCATGAGATGCACTGCAAAAAAAGATTGATATTCAAATCATTTCTCTGTGAAAACATTAAATTGATACGAGATATCGTAGATCCAATGAAATATAATATTTCCTTTGCGGGGGACGAAAAGTTAGCCCCATTACTGATGGGAGAGTCAACAATTGTTCACTTGGTTTATAAGATCGGGAGTCTCGTAAAGAACTGCTTACTTACCGCCTAGCCAGGTTATCCAGAACCAATGGGACCACCAGTAGAAAGTCATGATGCGGCGCGTGCTGTGATTTTGGGCTCAGTACTGGGCGCTGCAAATGAAAGACAGAAAGAGAGAAAATGTGAGTATAGGATATAGTGGTTTGTCAAGCTAATACGCGGATTGCTCATCCGCCGCGTATGCGCCGTGAGTCACCGCCTCGCTGAGGGCAGTGAGACAATAAAATGTATTTCGGATATATAGCCGATGCTGATGAAGTCATCCGCACACCTTACATGACTTCGTCTCGCGCACAGAATATAATCAAAAACCCGTTTCAGTTCATGGTCCCCCGACCAAGACGCATTTCCTTTTTGGGCAAATGTACATTTTGGCGCAAAGTTTATAAACAAAACACACATCACATTATGAATATGAGGCTTGAAGGTCGACGACTCGCTGGCGACGCAACAACGACACAAATGCCACAAAAAGTTGCCTACCAATTTCCTTTACTCATTAATGAGCCGAGTTCTTTTTTATGCTGCCCACGCTAATTGGCCAGGCCTGAAGCTTGGGGCTTCAACAGAAGATGGCACGGCGAAATTTTTGCCATAAACGTGTAATTGACAAGTTTGTAGTTTCTTTCTTTTTCTTCTTAAATTTATTTTCGGTGTCGGCCTGGCCAACAGGGAGACAGACAATGAGGTTATTTGTGGCTTTAACGCTTAATTGCCGGCATTGGCTTGAATTGCTTAACAAAGCCTGTAAGCGTTTTGGGCAAGTTTTCGGCTCTTACGGCTCTGCTACCATAAAAGGAACATTTAAAACGACTACTTAGGCCAACAACTAACCAACCAATTGGGCTCTGAGCGAAACGAATTAAAATACACGGGAAATGAGAGACAAAATCACAAGATTTTTAGCCAGTTTTAGAAATATAATAAAACTAATATTGGCCAGATTCAAGAATACCCTATACCTACGCGTTTCCCCGCTACAACATTTGAACTTAATCGTTCCCATGGCAGCCATATGATATAGTGCACCGATTTTAATGAAACTTCAGAATATTATGAGGTGCTTTATAAAACCTGTAAAATATTGAATTTGGCTAAAATATCGTAATAAGCAAAAAATGTTTGGTACTAAGATTGATTTTCCACGGATTGTTCCTATGGCAGCTATATAATATAGTGCACCGATTAAAATGAAACTTCAGAATATCATGAGGTGCTTTATAAAACCTGAAAATGTCAAGTTTGCACAAGATTACTTTATGAACAAAAAAGTTATGCGAGTAAGAGTAATTTTTCCACCGATTGTTCCTATGACAGCTATTATAAATAATAAGTTTAGCTGAGGTTTGCAATAAACTTGCTGTGCGTTTTGATAAGACAAGTCTACATATCATGCTTGGTGTCCCTAGGGCTTATGATTCAAAAGTTCTCGACGTTCATCAGACAGACAGACCGTCGGAAATGTCTCTTTAATCGTTTCGTCAGGTTGATCATTTGTTGTAACTATAAAACAGAGTCTGCCATGCGCTCTTCTGTCTGCTATATAAGTTTGGGGCTTAGACGAGTAAAGGGTATACAAAGAGAAGTCCTAATTCATTAATTTATGTATATAGAAGAATTTACATTATGGGAAATCTTCTTTATATGTGAATTGATTTTTGAAAAAGTGGGATTCAATTTATTAACTTCTATATGTAGAAGAATTTACATTATGTGGAATCTTCATTATATGTAAATTGATATTTGAAAAAATGTTAATAAATATTCTCTTATTAAACTAAACTGCGCTCTTCTGCCTGCTATATATATTTTGTGTTTAGACTTTCTAGTACAACCATTACCCGTCGAGTACAGTGAGTATGTGAAAAGTGAAGTCTTAATTTATTAATTTCTTTATATAGGAGAATTAAAATTATGTGAAATCATCTTTCTATGTGAATTGATATTTGAAAAAGTGCTAATCAATTATTATCTTCTGTTCTTGAGTTAAGCTGAGTCCAAATTTAACATTGATATTAAGAAAGTAGAAATGCAGAAATGCCTACAAACTGTTGCTTTTCTGCCATCCTGCCTTATTATTGTAAAGAAGAAGAAGAAGCAAAATTATCATGCTCTAGATACTTAGAACCGATAGCAACAAATGTGCGACTATTGTGTCCCCACAGCTATATGTAGTAAAACTAAAATTGAGTTTCAAGTCTATACGAGTCTCGGGGTGTATGTGCTTGTGTGTGTGTGTGTGTGTGTGTGTGCTAAAAAGTTCGCACTCATTTCTACGAACATACATATTTGGGTTAATGTCTACAAAGGCCCAAAAAGCTCGTACAAATTGTTGTCTTTAGCTGGAGTCGGGAGGGGTGTGTTGAGGTGGGGGGGAGTGGGATATTGTTCTAATTTTTCGACTCATTGTCCATGGTATCGAATGAGACACATACAAGTATGTATGTATGCACGCATATGTATGGATGTATGTATGTATATATAGAATAATGTGTGACAGCATTTGTATGACTGGCTGTCATATAAATTCTGGGTTGATCTGTCGATAAGCGCACTTTGGCCTCAATGACCTCAATCAGACCGCTGTCAAGCTCAACTCTTCAAAGGCGGGGGAATGGATGGTGAAGGATTTGTTAAATATATATTGTCGAAATGATTTAATAAGAAATATTACGCATACGCCACCTGATACGCAGCGCAAGAAACCGGCTACATGAGGCGTTAAAGGTCAATTGCTAAAGCCGTTGTTGTAGTTGTTTTGTTGTTGTTGCCGTTTTTAATGAGCGTTTCGTCACCTTTTATGATGTGCATATGAAAATTCTACAAGCGAATGATGTACGAGTATGTATGTATGTGTGTATTAAGTCAAGAATATAACAATTGTCGCTTTGTTGTTGTTGTTGTTGTTGTTGTACGCAAACAAAAGCTTTGAAAGATTCGCGAACCATAACGAATGACACCATATCTACATATAAACAAACGCACACACACACAGGAACGCATACTCAGCATTTTCACACACACACACACATGAAATTACAAACAAAACCAATTCCGGAGAAGAGAGGCGGAGAATGGAGGGGGAATACGAATTTAAGCCTAACACTCTTTGGGGGGTGGGTGGCGAACAGCCGAAAACAAACAATAATCGCAACAACAACAACAAAGAGTCAGTCATCAGCATCGCGCAAAAGCGGCAAAGCGGAACGCCCGAGCAGCGATCGCAGCAGCGGAAGAAGAAGAAGCAGCAACAGCAACAACAACAGCAGAAGAAGAAATAACAGCAACAACAACAACATCAGCTGCTGGGAGGCCTTATGTAAATTTTATGCGTCTCTCTTACTCTCTCTTACTCACTCATCCGCTCACAAACTCTCTCGCTCTCTCGAGCTATCTCTTTATGCTGATCTCTGTGCGTGACACAGTTGTTGTTTTCCCTGTTGCTATTACAAGTATTGTTGTTTTGGCTTAGATTGTTCCGCTTCTTCTCAACTTATGAACCTATTATGCAAGAGACACACACACACATACAGCCAATGAGACACCACACCATGCCGAGCAAAAAGTTATGGGGCATATGCAGTATTTTCTTTCCGGTTTGGATTATCACAGAGCTCAACGCAAGAGCAGGTATAGCCCATATCTAAATATTTTTGTTAAGCAAAATACCTTTCTTTTCGCATAAAGAAAAAAGCCAAATATTGACTCCATTATGTACAAGATAATGAACATAATTCGTAATGAAAAGCTTAAGTTTAGAAAAAAGAGGTATTGTTAGTATTGTCAGATATTTGTTTGTTTTTTTTTTTTAATTTCATCACCCCGTTAGATTTATGTGCAACCGGGGAAGTCGTATATTGTTCAGCTATAATTAATTAATAGAATAGAATTGTAAGGCCGTGGATATGTTGTTTGGATATCAATGTACTACAATTGTTTGTATGTCTATTAAGGGATATATGTAGGGATATGAAGTTTTATCAAACTACGGATTATATCAGATAGGCTATATCTGATAAAGTGACACAAATATGAGAGCAGGGCCGAAAAGTTGGAAATTATTCGAAGGAACATATGTATGCCATGACAACGAATTATCGAAATAAATGTTTATACTAAAATTGTTTGTATGTCTATTAAGGAATATATTTAGGGATATGAAGTTTTATCAAACCACGGATTATATCAGATAGGCTATATCAGATAAAATAACACAAATATGAGAGCAGGGCCGAAAAGTTGGAAATTATTCGAATTATCGAACTTAAGTTTGCAAAACATTTTTTGTATTTTTTTAAAGAAAATATTTATGAATATGTCTATAAAGGGATATACTATATGCAGTTAGAAAGCAAAAGTTCGGACAGAAATGGTAAACGCTACAAAATTAGACTCGCAATCGGTGGAAATTAGATGTACTTGTATGTATTTTTCAAATCCAAAAATTCATTTTGAGAAATATCCGACTGTTTTGGAAGTGTGTCATCACCGTAACATTACATACCTATTTGGTATTCAATAAAAAATGATTTAATAGAGCCCTTAAGTTGAAAGCAGGTACTTAAGCGACTTAAGCTTAGCGACCTCTCACACAAAAGCCGCAATTTGTTGGTCACAGTTTTAACTTAACTGTTCAGTTTTAATAACTGGAGCGCAGGTCGTTCGTTGCTCACGTAATGCAATTTTAATACGCTATTCATTTTTTTAAGCCTATTTAAATGAGACCCAAGGCCAACGAGTCGGGCCAGCTCTGGGGGCCTATGGACTGCATTATAGGCGCTGGTCGGTCAGTTTCTAAAAGCAGAATGCGAAGGGAATTGCAGATGCACTTTCATATGCGAAAGTAAAATGGCAAACACGACGGAAAGCACGAAAAAAAAAACAGAAATAAAAACTGGAACAAGTGCAAACAAATGCTTTTGAATGTGTGCTGTCTTGTACAGTGTATGTGAGTGTGTGTGTGTGTGTGTGTGTGTATGTGTGTATGTGTGTGTGAGCAGTTAGACTGCAATTAAAGCAAAACAAGTGCAACCTTCAGGCGTGCAATTGAAAAGGCAAAACACAAATAAAAAAGACAACAACCATAAAAAAGATAAAACAAACCCCATAATTAGATGCAGAGCGGCACAATTATTATGCAAATGCAAAGCCAAGCAAAAGAGGTGGGCGCCCATGTGGGCGTGGCTCACAGTCAATGTCGTGCGCCAGTCTAAGACAATGGGAAAGTTCACGCTTACTTTCTAATGCACGCGATGTCACATCTCCACTGAAGGTAATCAGTTGAGGATGTCTGGGACGGGGGGACAGCCATCAACGGCACTGGGTAGCATACGAGTGCATACTACTATATACATACATATGTACTTATAGGTGACAAGTACTATGAATCAGCAAATTAAGACTATTTATGAACGGCATCCTCCTTTTAACGCAACAAACTGTTGCAGCAAGTGACATTTTTCGAAAGAATAGTTGATAGAATTGTGAAAAAGAGTCGTTCATTGAAAAATATAATTTCATTGTAAATAAATAAAATAAGGAACAGCAAGTTTCCTAAATTCTTTCCTTATAAAATCGAAAATGATGTCCTCTTTTATTTTGATCAATTATCACAATCTTACTATAAAATTCTATAGCTCCTTTTAGATAACCTTCCTAGTTCTATCGTTCCTAAGACAATGTCAGATGTGACCACGGGATCATCACAAAATAAATATTTTTAATATATTTGACAGCAAACGAGGGTTAGTTTGTTTTATGCTATTGAGACTATATAAAGCCCTGTGCGAAATAATAGAAACATAATAATAAGAAACTGAATTCGTTCTATGAAATTGTTTAGGTAATTTAATTATTTAAATTACACTTCTCCTTCTACTTAATATAAATGCGTCATCTGAAGACTGGTATATTTTCCCAAGTATTTTCTGTTGCTTGAATTTCAGAATTTTTGGAATTATCATCTCTCACTCCTTTCTAAACACTTATCCAACGCTATTCTTTTGGATAAAGGTCTGGTGATTGTGCAGGACACTCCATAATAGTAACATAATTTTCTGAGCTTGAAACCACTTCTTCGCTTTCTTTGGCGTGTGTTTCGCGTCATTATCTTTTTATTATATCGAAGTATCAGCAATTAAGAATTGTTAATGCAAACTGTATCGCCATCTTGTTCTACAGAAATGTTTTGTAATGGATATGATAGGCCATCATCTTGAAATCTTTTAAGGCGAATGTTTCCCTATTAGCCAAAAATTCGAACTACAATATTCTATGAAAATATATTTATTTAGAAAGAAATTGATTACAATCACCAATTTTAGGTTAGTTAATTGAAAACATTAATTAATATTATTACTTGCAAGTTGTAGCCATTTTTAAACATTTCATTTTTAAATTAGATACTTTTTTATTTACTTATACTTATTGGTAGTGCCATAACTAAAAGGCTGTACTTTGTAATTAAATAAATCGGTTATTCAATCAGGCTATTTATTTATTTATTTCTGTCTAGTAAATAGTAAATAGTTCTCTATGAGCAGAAGTCAATTCATTTTTTGATAGGCTCCATGAATCACTTAGGCCTCTATTTTAAAATCAAAATTTCTTGAACAATTCGATTGTTTTATATTCCCAGGCGTAGTCAGTATTTTTTGCCCTCAAGCCGTTCACACACACACACACACACCAACACACTCACATTGCAAGCTTGTGTAAAATATATTACAACAATTAAAAACAAACAACAAGTTAATACATTCTTAGTGAATCGGTAGGAGAGTTCAATTGTTTAAACAACCTAAAACCTTACGTGTAAATTTTTGTGTAAAAGCGTGCGACCGAATCGTGAAATAGCCAGGGACCCAGCATGAGTCGTGAAAAGAAGTGTAAGTAGTGAGTGAGTTAATGGGATGCGATCCGATCCGAATCGAACCGAACCGAAATCCCCTTCGGCCCACAGCACGGCACTCGGACCAAACGCAGCCGATCGAGGAGATGGCGGCGGCCCGCATGGAGCGCCACGTTCTGAAGAACATTGTGAGCAAGTTGCCAGTGTCGGATCAGTTGGCGCTTTATCGGAGCCACAAGCTGGTGCCTGAGGCTTGCACCACACTGTGGCGCAACACACACAAGCGCCTCGACTTTCGCACGGTCGAGAAGGATCTGTGCGGCAAGGATCTGGCCTATTTCCTATGCACAATGGTCGACGACTTCAAGTACGTCTATTTTACGGCCGAACGACTGCAGGAGAACCTGAACGTGCTCGAGAAGTCGGGCGTCAAGGCGTTGAATAGTGTGCAGCATTGCGAGCTTTTGGTGGGTGTCGAGCCACCCGTTAAACGTCATCGAGGCAATGGTGATCAGTTCGAGGGCACCCTCCCGGGGGCGCCCAGTATGGCCCAATGGCCGTTGCATGCTCTGCCCAAGCTGTTGCGCAATCTGCGTCGCCTGAAGGTGTACTGTGACGTTCAGGTGCACTTCATCGAGCAGTTCCCGCAACTGGAATTTCTTGTGCTCGACGCCCAGGTCTCACAGTCGGCATTGACCGGCGTCCTGGAGCGTTGCTCGAAGCTGAAGCGTATTTTCGTCAAATCAGATGCACAGCCGCTGGACGTGCGTCGCATTGGACGTTGCAAGCAAATGCAAGATGTCTCCCTGCCCGTCACAATATTCAATGCCTCGAGAAGCTTCATCATCGAGCTGCCACAGCTGCAGTTGCTCGAGCTGACGAGCAATGAGGAGCATCGGGAATTGGCCATCGAGAGCATGCGCTATGTGGTGGAGCACAAGGCGGCTGATATGGAGATTGTGCAGCTGGACTGCGCCTTTCTCGGTGGACCCTTCTGGATCCGGGATGCCGAACTGCAACGCTGCACCCGATTGCGCGGCCTCGTTCTCATCAACTGTCGCTTCAACGATCGTGAGATTGTCGAGCTAAATATGCCGCGGGTCCACAAGTATCTGGTGTTCAGCGGATGCCACGACCTCAAGGAATACCAGCTACTGGACATGCTGAAGATGTGCCCCGGCCTCTGCGAGCTCTATTTGATCGACTGCCCATTGCTCAGTGGCAAGGTGCTGCAGGGAATTTATCGCATACGACGCAGCGAGAACACAGACTTCCCGATCAGTGTCGTCCTGAGTCGCTGCAACGCCATACGCGATGATTATCAGCGTTTGGTAAGAAATTTTCGTACGCGTCAAATGTTCCAGGGGCGGTTTTAATAGACATTTCTCCTTCTCTTTTTCCCTCTTTCTCCCTCTTTCTCCCTGTCTCTCTCTCTCCTGCAGTATGCATCGTATTGGTACTTCAAGCTGGGCACCATTAAGTTGGAACGCATGGCTGAGGAGAATCGCCCCATTGAGGACATACAGCTTTTCTTCTATAAGAATTAATGTAAATGAATCGTTGATGCCTAATGCCAGAGGCTTACTTTAATCGTTTATTATTTTAATTACGCGATTTAAATGCCACTTAGGCACATAGTATTGACTGTTTCCCCAATCTGTATGCCAGAAAATTATAACAAATAAATGCAAGCTTCGAACAAAACAATAATGATTTAGAATAGATGTAATAGTCACATCACAGGTTAGTCTATAGAAAAGTCGATATTGGACCTTCGACATTTTCTCATAGTCCTCGTAATAGACTTTCTGAAAGACACCAAATATAGGCAGTCTGTAATAGTCTGTGTAAGGAAAGGAAATTTTTAGTAACTGAGATCCAGCGATGTTGTCAAATGGACTTTAAGGGAATGTGGAGTGATCCCAAACCAATCACAATCTCAAAAAAAAAATAAATAAATAAATAAATAAAACAAGTAGAGGAGCTAAAGTCGGGTATCCCGACTTTGAAATACTCTGTACATATGTGCAGTATAATTATGCAAAGCAGTACCAACAACAACAACAGCTGCGGTCACTGCTTGGTCATATATACATTAAATGGCTACAACTTCCTGTGAAATCGGCCTATAATTATGAAACTCGACATACGGACTCAAAATCACTAATGGAAGGTATTTTCCGAATTTCAATGAAAAATTCCAAGAATTAGGGGAGTTATGGATTGTGGTGGAGAGGGTGGAGGAAGGGAAATTCCAAAATACACATTTTTTGCGTTTCACATAATGCATCTGACTAAAATTTGCTGTCCCTAGGTCTCATAGTTTCCGAGATATAGGCGATTATACGAATGGAAAATCGAGAAAACTCCCATAGGGGGGAAGTGGGGGGAACAAAAAAATAAAACAAACTCGTATAGCGTACACACATAAGGCATCTTTGTGCAAAATTTGGTCTCTCTAGCTTTTATAGTCTCTGAGATCCAGGTGTTCATACGGACGGATCTGGATCTGGAGGAAGTCTGAGAGAAAATGGAGGGGACCTTTTGTACACGTTCTAGGGGAGTACAAAACGAGGGGTAAAAAACGAAGTACCCTTTAAGATTTGGAAACGATGCCTAGTATTTTGCTTTTCAGCTGCCGTGAATTCTGCTACATACTCGTCGTATGTATAATTTGTAGTCTTACCTGGCAAGCATTCCAGCCCCTGCCACACCAGTACCTGCGCGCCTCTCCAATTAGCAACTTGTGCCAGTTTGTCGCACATGTGGCCCAAGTAATGTCAGCACGCCCCCACAGGCCTCTATTACCGCCGACTTTCGAACAAAGACACAATGCAAAGTAATTGTTTCTGTGTTGAACTTCTCCACTCCACTCCCTCCCTCCCTCTCTCTCTCTCTCTCTCTCTTGCTCGCTCTTTCTTTCTTGGAAAACAGGCAACAATAAAATTAACTCATTTTACTTTTTGCGTGCAGTTTTCCACATATATATATATTTTTGTTTTTGCCAAGATTTCGCTGCTGTACGTGTGTGTGTGTGTGTGTGTGTCTTTCCACTTAGTTAACAAATAACTTCATTTTGGCTTTCTGTGCGGGCATGCAAATCGAAAGTGTGGGCTGAGAAGAATCTCGAGGCGAAACTCTTGTCGCCAGAAAGCGAAACAAAAGTTTTTAGGCCCAAGCTCTTTTTGAGGTCGCCATGCAAAAAAAAACCTTTTGTGGCTGCCATTGTCAGTCTGTCAGTCGCAACACATCCTTCTTCTCTGACCACCACCAGCCCCGGCCGAGAGACAGAAGATGTCTTTCAATAATGTTTTTTTATTTCACTTCCCATTTCCACATGCGATTTCGACTGTGGTGGCGGCATGTGACAAATTTATTTGCTCTTGGCAGTTCCGATGGTTGGTTGGGTCGTTGGTCTTCTCGCCGACAATATATTTCTTTTTTGCTGACTTGTCATCGTCTTCGTTTCGGCATTTTCTTTTGTTTGTGCTATTTGGTAATATCTGCTAGAAAATGAAATTTCTTACCGCCAAACTGACAATGGCAATTGATTTTTAAGCCGCCACTGTGGACATGTTTCACTTTCTTCGTTTTTCTTCTCTCTATTGCCGGTTAGTGCAAATCGAAGGCTTGACGAATGGCTCAAAAGAAAAGTGAAATTATATGGTTGCCAAGAAATGCAATTAGAAGACGAATTCAAAACCTTATCTGCCTAAGATGTAACACATGGGTATAGCTTTACAGGTGTAAGAAAATGTAACCATTTTATTTTATAATCTATTCATTTAAGATTTGTTAACCCAAAATTTCAACCCCAACTAAAGGGTGAAATGGTAAACTAAACTGTGGAAGCTGTATAAGATACTTAACTATTAATTCATGGTAGACGTTTTAAATCTTTTTTGCCTAAGATGTAACATATGGATATAGCTTTATGTAACCATTTTACAAACTATTCTTCTCTGATTTGTTTACCCAAACATTTCAACCCCAACTAAAGGGTGAAATGGTAAACTAAATTGTTGAAATTGTATAAGATACCTAACTATTAAGGCGTGGTAGACCTCATTATAGACAATCTACTGGGGGCTAGGTTCAGAGTAGGCAAGAGAGTCTTTTTTGGACTCAGACGCAGACCCCTAACTGCAGCAGGAAAGGTTTAGGGAATTTTAGGGAACAGCAGGACGAGGCTGGGAATTGGATAACAAATAATTCAATAAAGACTTGCAGTTGTTTAAAAACGAAATTCTCAACTTCAAAAACTCTATTAATGGACACCACGTTTTTATCCGGACACCCCTCTTAGAAGAACACCTTTTCGAGAACATTCGGTCGGTGTACTAAGTATTTAAGTATCCCTTTAAGCGGACACTCCCTTAGGCCGGGCAAACGTTGGACGAGGATGAGTGTCCGGCCAAGAGAGTTCTCACTGTACATAGTATGTATGTATGGAACGCATAAAACACAACAATTGATTTACCAGGCATTCACTTCAGAGATTATTGTAAAAATATACATATACATAAAATATAGAATATACATTAAAAAATAAGCAATAATTTTATTTGAATATTTCTCATCAGTCATCATCGCCCAGACCCGATTTTTTTTTTTTTTTGTTAATTTCCAGTTTTACTGTTCAAATTGCAAAGATAGTTCCATTTATTCCTTATGCCACTGGGATGCTTGATTTTTATTGTTGCTATTGTTATTTTTGTTCTTCTTATTGTTTGTTCTCTTAGTCCTGTTACCAGCAACAGAAGTCTGGGAAATTGGCGCCTCCGACACTTCCTTTATGTTATTATTGAAGGCCTGGGGACGCGTTGGTTCGCTTAGATCGTCGTTGTTCCGCGGAGCACCAACTGGCACTCTACTCCATATCGACTGTGGCGAAGCTTCGAATTTACTTTTGCCGGGCTGGCTCCATTTGTTGAAGTTACTGACCTGCTGACCCCATCTGGGTTGTTTCGGCTGATTGTTATTATTGTTGTTGCTATAATTGTGGTTACTATTGAAGGCCTGGGGACGCGTTGGTTCGCTTAGATCGTCGTTGTTCCGCGGAGCACCAACTGGCACTCTACTCCATATCGACTGTGGCGAAGTTTCGAATTTACTTTTGCCGGGCTGGCTCCATTTGTTGAAGTTGCTGTCCTGCTGACCCCATCTGGGCTGTTTCGGCTGATTGTTGTTGTTGGTATAATGGTAGGACTGGGGAGCTATTGGTTCGCTTATGTCGTCGTTGTTCTGCGGAGCACCAACTGGTACTCCACTCCATATCGACTGTGGCGAAGCTTCGAATTTACTTTTGCCGGGCTGGCTCCATTTGTTAAAGTTGGGTTCCTGCTGACCCCATCTGGGCTGTTTCGGCTGATTGTTGTTGTTGGTATAATGGTAGGACTGGGGAGCTATTGGTTCGCTTATGTCGTCGTTGTTCTGCGGAGCACCAACTGGTACTCCACTCCATATCGACTGTGGCGAAGCTTCGAATTTACTTTTGCCGGGCTGGCTCCATTTGTTAAAATTGGGGTCCTGCAGACCCCATCTGGGTTGTTTCGGCTGATTGTAGTTACAATTGTAGGACTGGGGAGGTTCGCTTATATCGTCGTTGTTCTGCGGAACACCAACTGGCACTCTACTCCATATTGACTGCGACGAAGCTTCGAATTTACTTTTGCCTGGCTGGATCCATTTGTTTAAGCTGCTGACCTGTTGACCCCATCTGGGTAGTCTCGGCTGATTGTTGTTGGAGGCTGACTCAACCTGATTGTTAAAGACCCGCTGCTGGCCACCCCCCCATCTGGGCTGGGGTTGTAGTTGCGGTTGCGGAGTCTGGTGCCAACTTGTCTGCGGTCCTCCTTCCTTCACATTGCCGCGTTTTCCTAAACCGGTCTGATCGCTTCGCTTCGACTCTGCCTGAGGCTTGCGTCTGTTACGTTTGTTGTTGGTCACCGGTAGACTCCATCCAAAGGTCGATTTATCATTCAAATTATTGTCCGGATCAACAGCAACTGGCTGCGACACTTCAACAAGAGACTGGGCCTGCATAGCCGGGGAAAGCGACGGCAAGGTCAAGGACGATGGAGAAGGAGCCTGATAACTTGCATACGCCTGCGGCACAGAGCCATTGCCTTGATTGCTATTTGCCGGACCGGACGACTCCTCGCGAGCTGCAAGTGGCTTTTTTTTATTGTGCTTGTTCTTAGATTGAGTCCAAGATGTGACGGCCGGGCCGTTGTTCAGATTATTCGCCTGTTGGCCTAGCATTATCCAAGAAGCTGGGGACTGTTGCATGTTGCTGTTGATGGGCTGCGATAGCGGAAGATCTGGATACTCCATATATGCTTGTGGTGGTATCTGAGCTTGACTATTATATGCCGGATTTTTACTCTTCTTTTTGTTCTTCTTTCTGGCCTGATTCTTGCTCGCATTTTGAAAGATCGCTGAGGCCATGGGCGGGTTTTGTTGCGGACGTATGAAGGACGTGGGCATGCTGGGTATAAACGTTCCCAAGGGCACGGCCTGAATTAAATGTTGATTGCATAGTCCCTGATGCGGCAGCAGTGGTTGATTCAGAGGTTGTTGCAAGGGTTGCAGCAGCAGTTGTGGGCGCCTTTGTTGCGGTATTGGTTGCGGCATTGGTTGCAACATTGGTTGCAATATTGGTTGCAACATTGGTTGCGGCATTGGTTGCGGCATTGGTTGCTGCGGCGTTGTCTGCACTGGCTGCTCCTCAACATAGGGTATCTGTTGCTGCTCATTGACATCCCAGCTCATGGAAGCCGGTGGTGACAGTTTTGGAGACTCTGGCGACACCTCCTGCGGCATGGACGTCGACACAGAATCAGTGGACCTCGGCTCATCGGTTAATGTCATCGTTATTTCCGGCAACGGCTCCTCCACAGCCAAAGGTTCCAAGCCAGCCTCTCGCAGCCGTCTATGCTCATCCAAAATGTCGCGGACAATAGGCGCGAGAGCGTCCGCAACGGGTATTTCCCTTTGGAGAATCGCAGCCTGTAGACGCTGCTGAATATGCGAATCGAGCACATACTTTGGCGAAATGGTGGCATCGAACGATTTAGTTAGTTCATCAGCGGGTTGATTGAGAGACTCCGATATGCTCATAGTGCTGAAGCACTGAAACGGTAAATTGAGGGCCCCCACATCGATTGGGCCACAATGCACACTTGGCAGCGGAACGACCTCCATTTTTAGAGTGCCTGCTACATTATTCGCTGGTCCACCTCTTCTATTGCCATCATCGGGTTGTGTCGTCTCATTCTGCGGCATGGTTTCAGAATTCCTTACCTCGTCATCTGCTGTTACGGTTCCATCGTCCTGCGGTTCCATAGTTGTTTGATTTTCATTATTGCCATCCTCTCGTTCGGTTTCACAATCGCCCTCCCGCTCTATAGCTCCGTCATTATAATCTTGAGTTGTGGTCGCATCGTACTGTGTCAGATCTGCACCATCATTCTGTGGCGCATTGCCATCGTCGTCGCCTTGTAGCGATGGAGTCTGTTCCGTGCGCTTCGGTATCATAGTAATTGTAGTAGAGAACTGATCCCGCTTTGGTGGAGCGCGATTCTCAGGATACATAAAATAATTAAAAGCATCGATCACTCCCGGCAAATCGGGCAGACCAGTCGCAGTCGGCAGTACGCTCGGCGGCAGGTGTACAATGGCTCGAGTACGTCCCGACAGAGCCGTTAAATTCGGTCCATCTCCTCCGGTGGATAGCGGGATGTCCACACTAGGCGTTGTTGTGGGATGCTGATCACACTGATCGATTGGCTGATTTTCATTGGAAGCCTGCGATAATGTAGCGGACTGGTCGTCCCGAGTTGAATCATCCTTCAAAGGAATCTCAGAGTGAGAAGCTTGATCATGCGCCTGATCCTGATGCTGATTCTCTTGTGGTGAGGGTGTACCATCACCATTCTTCTGTCTGGCCTGCCACGATGTGCAAGGCTGTTCATCCTGTGATGCGATGCAACGCTGATTAGCAGCCTGCTGTGAAGTGCAGGGCTGTTCGTCTTCCACGAAGAAATAAAGCTGATCGCTTTGATCATCTGGTGGTTTGCAGAGCTGCTCGTCGTGTGGCGATGTCGATGACTGATCAAAATGCAATGATACCGCCTCTTCATTCTCCGGTACTGGCGATGTTTGAGGCGCCACCGGTCTTGGATAGGTGTCGCCGGTGTATAAAAGCTCCAAAGTCGCACCACAACGATGCACACGATTGCTGAGAATCGACCAATGATATCCAGCATGGGCCGATAACTGATCCGGTTCTGGGGTTCTGTCGTCATTGCCATCATTATTATTGATGCCAGAAGTGTTGTCTTCAAGGGTATTTTTGCTCTCGGCTTCGCCAGCATCCTGAGCATTTGGTTAATAAGTAGATTAGATTAGATTCAAAAAAGAAACGCAGCAACCAGTGTGTAAAATATCGAAACCGAAGCCTACTAAATCGTAGGGATGTAAAAAAACATTGATGTATCGAGCATCGACGACGTTTTTAGCACGTTGCATCAATGTTTCGTGATGTTTTTTTCCTTGCGATGCAACGTCGATCCATCGATGTTTTTTCAAACATCGAACATTTTTCATTTTCTGTGGGCGCTCTCATTTCTTGGTGTTGTTTTTATTGAAATGTGTATTTTATATATTAGATTGTTAAGAATTTGATCTTCATTTGATTTATTTACATATTTATTATTATTAAAATGCGTTGGATGGATTTATTTTTAAAACACAAGTTCATTAAAACTCACGAACACGATTGCTTTAATCACCTTTAAAAAAAATTACTATGTCATCTTGAATAATACACATTTGTGATTTAAAACATCCCTGTTGATTTTCTCTCTAATATGATTAACTTTTTCTATGAAAAGTTAATTTTTGAATACATCGATGCATCGATGCTTTATGCGAATGATTTTTTGTAAAGAGACGTCGATGTTTTCTCTTCGATTTACATCCCTACTAAATCGTAGTCCGGTGAGTTGTGCCTATCGGGTTTCGATACCAGGCTTGCAGGACAACAGGACACTGCATGCCAACTCACCTGTGGTTCTTGCTGTTCGTTATTATTATGTTGCTCGTCAGCATTGTGTGGTTCCTCTATTTGCGGTTCCGCCGACTGGGGTGTCAGCACTTGTGGTTGTGGTGGACGCCACGCTCCTGTATCAATACCCGGCTCGTAAACAGATCCGCTCGGAATGCTAGTGTAAGGCTTGGCCTCATAGTTGGGTATAGGAACACTCGGCAGCTCTTGCAATGGGACGTCACAAGTGGAAGGACGCTGATAGGGCATTTGCACCAGCACATGCGAGGTTGCCGGCACAATGGGAGCATGTCCCGCTCCAGCAACTAAGGAGGGGGCCGCGGCCTGCACTGTCTGCATAACCGGCACATAAATGGGAATGGCCTGAAGGGATTGCATCGCTTGCACAGGCCCTGCCGATTGTACGGGGTGCATCTGTTGAGCCGGTTGAACCGGTGGCACCACCTGCATGGGCTGAACCGTCTGCAAGGGCTGCATCGATTGGACCGCCTGCATCGGAGGATAGCCGGCCGATGGGGGAGGCCCAAATTGTATGGGCACGTATATGAGCGGCTCACCCATGTAAATCGATTCGTTGTTGGTAGGCCCTGTGGGTCCATAACCATCACCGCCCCCATACATATTATAATTTCCATCGACGTGTCCGGTTGTCATATTGTTGTTGTTATTACTATTATTATTATTGTTGTTGTAGCCGGTAGAAGTGTTTAAAAATCGATAACGCGCATTACCCCGGCCACTAAATTCACCAAATTTGCGATTGAACATTTTTTAAATAGTTTGTTCACTGATCTGACTTTTGAGGGAAACCGTTTTTAAATGACCGAAAAAGAGAAATACAAAAAATGAGAACTATGTTTGACAGCTATTCCATAGCATCTGTAGCTCCGAAACAACGCCTACTTCGACTATTGAAAAGTATTGAACAGACACATAAGCCCTTTCGATAATTGCTACTAGCCGATTACCGATTAATAAATATAGCTTGCGTTCAAAGCACAAGGCATGTTAGGCAAGGTTTTTTTTTCCATCATAAGTCATCCTTAGAATACTATAATTGTATATAAATAATATGACAGACTCCAATTAGGTTTACTGACCAGAAGAAAATAATTTTCAATATAGCACAGAACAGATTTTGGTTAAACAAGATTTCTGCCATTAATGATAACTTTTTTCAACAAACGTAGTGCTCCTAAATTTACTTTGGAATTGTGTATAGTATGGACGAAACTCTGTGTGGGGGAAGAGAAGCGGCAAATACAAAAATAATAAAATGAACTTGTATTACATAGGAACTGCGAGCGGCTATATGCCAAGTTTTGTCAATGTTGACTCGGCCGTTTTCGAAATCCAGACGTTCATCCAGACAGACAGATCAAGATTTCTCTTGTCATTTCTTTTGTCTGTTACATACTTTTTACACTTCGGGTGCGGGGTATAAAAACTCAACTATAGACCTTAACAGGAAATTTTTTTTTATTTTCAACCGATTTTTTAGGGGTTTAGTTTAGGTATAAAAATATGATCGAAACATGGCATTCATTTGTCAGGGAGAGGGCGACAGACAAAATAGGTGGCGACTTTTCTCAAGAAATTTTAAACGCAAGAAGGTTGTACCTTTTCCATTTAATATACTATATGTCTTTATGCGAATAGCTTATAATGGGGATCTACGAAATGCAAAACTTTGCAACAGTTTAAAAAAAAAATATAAAAAAATGAAAATGAAGATACAATTCACTTTTAGGTGCAATAGCAACCGAGCTATAGAGCAGTTGGAGGTTGGAGGCGTAGGCTCTGTGAGTCAGACCCAACAATGAGATTTGCATGAAAAAATGTCGCAATTTGACATACGAAGGTATATAAGTATGTATGTGTGATACTCGAATGTTTGTACATTGAGATGAATTGTTGATATGCTGCGTCTTTCTTGCTATTGTTATTGCACTTATTGCCATTTTTATTGTACAATGTGTGTGTGTGTGTGTGTGTTTGGCTAGCAATTGTTGCCATTGCCGGATGTGATTAGGAAAACTTTGAAAATTGTGGATGGGAATGGTGCTTCCTGTCTCCTGCATTGAACAAATATTTACTTACGAATTGCCTTTGGCCGTATTGTGGCTCAACAGCGTCCGAGCTTGCAAGCTTCTGGTTCAGCGTTCAGTTTCGAATTTATCTGCAAAAACAGAAAAACAGAAAAACAGAAATATAGCAAAGCGTTACAAAAGTGCATTTGAAATTAAATATACTTGTATTTTTCATATTTTCTTAAAAATACAAATAGTAAAAGCTTACATAAGCGCTGCCATTAGATCGGCCAAAGCCAAGGGCCCCCAGACCAATCATAATGATAATAAGTAGTAGCTTGGCTGCACACAAAATTTGGCCAAAACCTACCGAGCATGTTATGGCCAATGATTTAGACTGAGCCATCGAGCGCTCAACTCTGTCTCAGAGAGAAGTGAATAGTAAATAGTTTATAATAAATGCAAGGCGTCTGTTATTCATTCATTTATCCAATTATGAATTAGTGCGTGGCGCAAGCAACTAAGGTAATTATTTATGCATTTGACTTTGAGTCTGCACTGAGCCGACTTGACGGTATTTACGCTTTTTACGAGTACCGGTATGTATGTAGGTATGTATGTAGTTTTTAAAGCCGTTTGGGCGCTTAACTAAGACAGTTGGCAGTTGTTTGTTTCTTTGCTGCCAGACTGACATTCAAAAATATTGTATTTCTTTTTTTCTGTCTTAAGCCATTTATATCTTCGGCTTATCAATAATTTAGCAACAATTTTAAGCACTCTTCCTTCATTTGTTTTTGTGGTTTAAATAGAAGACAGCGTATGGGTTTAATGTTTGTGTCACACCTTAAAAGAGGCGTGTCAATATATATACATTTTTATAAATATTGTGGTCTCTTTTTTTATGCGTGTCTACATCAGAAAACTTAAGTGCTGAACAGTTTTTCTTTTCTTTTCAACATTTTCTTGGATATATGCTTAAAAATCGAATGCTTGATATCATAATTTTTTTTTACATAAAACATCAACTTTTTAGGGCAAAAATAAATAAACACCTAATTCTGTTTTTACACGGTTTTGATTTAATATGGTTTGAAAATTAAAACTTTTATATATGGTTACACGACATTATTCCATTTACCACGATTTATTTTGCATATGATCAATGTCTTTTTTTACACGGTTTGTAACACGACTTTTTTAGGAACCAATCTACCGTGTAAAAACACAATTAGGTATACATATATATATATACCTTTCTTGACGCCTCAATAAAAACTATAGCTCTAGAGGAGCTTTTAATGCGGAATCGAAAACAGGGACAGGCTTCTTAACATCACTCAGAATTGTTATTTCGGCGAAATGAATTATTATTTTATTTTGTTTAATTCACAATAATCACCTTTTGTCTAAATACAACAAACGTTTTTGTTGTTCGGTAAAAATGCGATGAATCATTAATTTGGAGATATTTAATTCCATTTTATTTATTTGTAGCAAATATTTTGGCCTTTTTTGTAAAAGTTTACACGCTTTTGCGACTGCATCTTTGGTAATTAAGAAGTATGGGAAAAAATAAACCGATATTACTTGTAAAACGGAAATTAATAATTCGATTCTCATTTTTATACGATAGCAGAAACACAGAGTTACTTTTGCTTTCTTATGGAACTAACGCAATAAGCCATCAATAAAGGGATATTTACGAAAACACCTACAAGTATTTACTTTTTTCAAGAGGGAATTGAGAATCGATTTGCATTTCGTGCAAATATTTCCGTGATGTCAAAGCAACCGGCTTTTTAATGTAATTTTGTAATTGCATGAATTGCATTTGAATACATTTGCTTGGTAACTTGGCAGAGCGGTCTTATTTGTGAAATGTACCCGTATACGAGTCCATATAAGTAGTTATATGTTCATGCGACTTTTAATTGCTTTTCTTACCACACACAATTTAATAAAAATGATTATTCGCTTGTTGGCTTATTTGGCAACTCAATGAAATGCCGCCAAATGTCAAAAAGGCATTTACCGGACCCCCTCTCGGACCCCCCGCTCAACTAATTTGCATGCTCGTCTTCATTCAATTGACGAAGTGAATCATTGGAGAGCTGCATGTCTGTCTCACAGATGCCTGGTTATTAGAAATTGTATTAAAAAAATAATAATAATAATAATAAACAAGGCAAGAAACTGAAAACAAATGCTTGGAAAAGTAAAACGCAATTGAAAGCGAACCTACGAAGGTTGGGCGCGGCTCCCAGTTGGCGATGAGAACTGTTTTCAGGGGGCTTGCGTGTCGCTGATTGACTTTTGGGCATGGAGGGGAATACGAAATGGGCGCGACTTCCTACAAGTCATACGGGTATATAATAAAGGTATAGCATACTCGTATATTGGCCAAAGTCAACGCTTATTTTATTTTTACTCTGTTGTTGTTTGTTGCGGTTCTGAGAAAGTAAAGACATCCACTCGGTCGGCTTTGGTGAACAACAGCGCTCTTACAGATGTGCCCAGCTCTTCTACATGTGTGTGTGGGTGGGTCTACATACATATATGTATATATACTTATGTACAGATGTATATCTGTAAATATCGCGTAGCCATGCATGCTTAGAATTTAAAGGTGGGGCTCGCTTGCTAAACAACAACAACCACAGCAATCACTTCCATTCGGTCAGCAAGTCGACTGACATAGTTGCATTTTATAAGTGGCACACACCAACAACAACAACAACAATATAGAAAGAGTAGCAACAACAACAACAACAACAACAATACGTTCTAATCGCAGTTTAGCACGACGTTAACAGCATTAAGAATTGATAAACATTTTATGTAGGCCAAGCAAGTGGGCCAATCTTGGGCTTTTTTTGTCTGCATTTTTGCTCTATATGGGCCTACATGTGAAGGAAATAAAACAGAAAGTAAAACATTTCCTGCAGAAACAGAAGCGATCCTTATTGCAGTAGAACTGGCAAGCGCAACAGAAAAATTTTAAACACATCATACTTCCAAAACCTCGAACAACAGTCCACATTGAAAAAAGTAACTCATAAGGAATTATAGGAAATGGAATGGAGAAAAGCTAGCCAAATTAGCAACAAGAGCAACAATCTCGTCAGCTCAAGTTTTCAAACAGTTTTAAAATCTATTTTAAAAACCATGCAAAACAATAAACCCATCAAGAGAGAGTCGAAAAATATTCCAATCACAATGAAAAGAAAACCAACAATTGTGTACACAAGATTCAGATTTTTTTGTGGTATCCGATTGTTCAGTGGTGTTTAAAGCTTCTTTTGTAGAATTCTCGATTTCTTCACAGCTGCTGTAGTTTCTTTTTGTGGTTTTTAAAGCAACTTTCCTAAAATTCTCAATTTCTTCAAAGCTACTGTAGGTTTTTTTTTTGCTGTTTTTAAAGCTTCTTCTCCAGAATTCTCAATTCCTTCAGAGTCTCTTTTTGTGGTTTTTAAAGCATATTTCCTAAAATTCTCGATTTCTTCAGAGCTACTGTAGGTTTTTTTGCGGTTTTTAAAGCTTTTTTTTAGAATTCTCGATTTCTTCAGAGCTGCTGTAGTTTCTTTTTGTGGTTTTTAAAGTATCTTTCCTAAAATTCTCGATTTCTTCAAAGCTACTGTAGGTTTTTTTTTTTTGCTGTTTTTAAAGCTTCTTTTCCTGAATTCTCAATTCCTTCAGAGTCTCTTTTTGTGGTTTTTAACGCATCTTTCCTAAAATTCTCGATTTCTTCAAAGCTACTGTAGGTTTTTTTTTTTGCTGTTTTTAAAGCTTCTTTTCCTGAATTCTCAATTCCTTCAGAGTCTCTTTTTGTGGTTTTTAGCGCATCCTTCCTAAAATTCTCGATTTCTTCAGAGCTACTGTAGGTTTTTTTTTGCTGTTTTTAAAGGTTCTTCTCCAGAATTCTCAATTCCTTCAGAGTCTCTTTTTGTGGTTTTTAAAGCTTCTTTTGTAGAATTCTCGATTTCTTCACAGCTGCTGTAGTTTCTTTTTGTGGTTTTTAAAGCAACTTTCCTAAAATTCTCAATTTCTTCAAAGCTACTGTACTTGTAGTCTCTTTTTGTAGTTTTTAAAGCATCTTTCCTAAAATTCCCGATTTCTTCAGAGCGGCTGTAGTTTCTTTTTCTGGTTTTTAAAGCATCTTTCCTGAAATTCTCGATTTCTTCAAAGCTACTGTAGACTCTTTTTGTAGTTTTTAAAGCTTCTTCTCCAGAATTCTCAATTCTTTCAGAGTCTCTTTTTGTGGTTTTTAAAGCATCTTTCCTAAAATTCTCGATTTATTCTTTTTGTGGTTTTTAAAGCATCTTGTCTAGAATTCTCGATTTCTTCAGAGCCACTGTAGGTTTTTTTTTGCGGTTTTTAAAGTTTTTTTTTAGAATTCTCGATTTCTTCAGAGCCGCTGTAGTCTCTTTTTGTGGGTTTTAAGGCTTCTTCTCCAGAACTCTCGCTGCTGTCGTCTCTTTTTGGCTCACTTACCTCATTCACAGCAATTTCAAGCAAAAATTCGTCTTACTTCGAATTAATCTTGAACATCATCCATATTTACGAGTATGTTTTCGAATACTTCGCCTTCAATCAAATGAACAAATTCCGATATTTCAAAAAGTTCACATGGTGGGAATTGTATTTCGTGATTGACCAAAATTCTTTCTAATATCCGTTCAATATTGAGTTCTTCAATTCATGGCTATCTTTAGAATAACATTTTTTTCAGCACTGATGATTATACAACGATTGAGTCAGTTTCAGTTGTATCTAAAATCCAGCACATAGAGCGCCTGATATAGCATGTCTTGAAACTGCAAATTAAATACCGATCCATTAGCTGTAGAAGTAGGGAAGGCACTTTATTTAGACAAATTTGTTTATGAGTGCTTCAAAGTGAAATTATTATTGTATTTTTTTATATTTTTCAACTTATTACGAGGTTTACAAAATCTTAAAAGGGAGAAGGGAGCAAATTTATAATCATGTTAGACCGATTTCACGTAAAAAGAGTTCATGGGCTAGGTTTCTTCGGTTTGCTTAAAATATCAGAGCAACAAACATGGTTAGTGAAAATTCATGAATTTTAAACGATTTTTTTTAAACACGTACTTATGTGTGTTTTAAAGGCTTTTCAATTTATTTTCTG